TAGTATTTGTTCGAATATGCGGCAGTCATGTTTTCAAGAGTAAAATAGGGAGAATAATAAGAAAAAAAGTGAAATCAATATGAAAAGAGAAGATTAAAAAGAAAGAATAAATTAATAATCATCTGGCGAGAGAATTGATAAATCTGATGTAGAAACATTGTTTTTTTTCTTCTTTCCCTTTCTTCCTCGACAAACAGGTTCGCCAACAAGATGAGCAAAAGACTTGATTGTATCATCCAATGATCTTCCTTTTGACTCTAATAATTGCAACAACTTTTGAATTTGTTTACTTTTACGAGCTGCTTTACGTGTCGATTTTTTTTCTCGAATAGAAGAAAATCCTAATCCAGTTTGCACCATGCGATGAGATATCACACTTTCCTCCTGCTTTAGGCATTGGATAAATCGCCACAAGTGTGGATGCGGCTGTACAACACGTGTCAGTATACGTTTATTTTGTGCTAAAATATATGAAATGTGACGTTAAAGATTTACTTTTAGAGACCTGTATTAAAAATATTAGAGAACGTTATTTTACCTTCAGCATGATTATTTGTTCGCCACGTACTTTTGTTAACAGACCACGTTGAAGGTTTAAAAACGTGCATCCATTCATGCTCAAAATAGGAAACAAATGCATTTAATTGTTTTGCTTGAGATGAAGTTGTTACTCTTTGTTTTAGAATTTCATATCCTTCATAAATACGATCAATAGGAAGTAAAGCAAGACCCATAAAGCCACGTAATAACTCTCTCGATTCAGCATCATCCTCGTACAAGTTCATCATACCGAGCTTCTGAATGTTCCTATAACAAGACTGACAAAAGTGGAACCAGCAGCCGGTAACAATAGTTTGTGGTAACTAGATTTTATAAATACAAGAGAACAAAATTTTAGACAAGATACATTAAGAAAGACAGACACATATACCTCATTAGTTACTGCATTCATGAATGATTGTTCAAAATCACATATGATACTCAATGGTTTTAAATCAAAACCCATTTTTAATCCAATTCTTTTTAAAGATCTGAAGATTGCTGCGTACGTATCATGCTTTCTGTTTGATGTAAGAATAAAACAAACCGGCAAAACTAGATATATAAGAAAATGAATTATAGAAAAGTTACACTTCAATTCAAAATAGATATTCTTTTTCTTTTTCTCGTTCTTGTAAATAGATGTATATATTTGCATGCCGTACGTACCCTCTCCGTTCTGTAAGCCATGCAAAACATAAAGTTGTTCGAATAATGTTGGGGACACTTTAAATGTTCCATCAGCAAAAAGTACTTCAGAATGGAACAATACATTTAATTGGTCATCTGATGCAAAAATTAATAAACGACCACCATAAACAGTTTTTCTTTTATCATAAATTAAAAATCTTGAATTAGAATATGTTTCTTGATAGACGGGTGGAATTATAAACTTTTGATCAGTCGGTATTGGTGGATACCTTTTCCGACGCAATTTGTATAAACCAGATTCTAAAACATGAGAGAAGATAATGAGAAACAGTAAAAAAAAAGACTTTATGTATACCGATTTGTATCGGAAGAGGCATTACTCGTTTCTCTTCTGCTGTTAATTTAGCTTTTCGATATTCATCTTCGATAATTAATTTGATGGGAATGAACTCATCAACAACACGACTTTTTTATTTTTGATAAAATCTCATTCTTTCGAGTATAACCTGCATCACGTAAATGACTATGAACTTGTCCGTTCCAATGACTAAATTCTTGTGTATTTTTGAGTGTGTAAATTACTGCTTTACAATTTAAATCTCTCCGCGCACACCTCCAACCAACAGCATTCTTTGTTTCATTCAGAAATAAATATCCAAAATCATTCATATAAATCATTTTACCACCTCGAGTTGATGTGCCACTAGTAATCTCTCCATTCTTCACTGGTTTATTCATAATAGCATTTGAATCACCAAGATAAATACCATCTTCATCCTTATCCGATGATTCCGTTGATAAAAGAGAATAATCAATTTTTACCTTTTCTACTGTCAATGTTGGTGATTTCATAACAGACGACGCTACTGATGATGATGACAAAATTGTTGATTGATGATCATCAGAATGAGATGACCCTAATTGTTTATTTATTTGCTGTTCAGCTATTTTATTTTCAGATGCTGTTGATAATGTTAGTACTTCATCAATACATAAATTTTCAATTGATATATCAATTTCTTCAATTAATCTTTTATTTTCATGATCACGATGATCATTAATTTCAGTTGCAGATTCAATCTGTGGAACTGCTAGTTGTTGTACGACTGAGGAATGTTTTTCAGATTCTGTAGAAATTTCAGATGACTGTACCTTAAGTTTTTTTTTTTTAATTTCTGATGGACATCTTCGAATTGATTTATTGGTTGTTACTTGTTTCATAGACGATGTTGTTTCTTCAGCGATCTGAGACCGTAATGCAGCAGCACGAGTTGTAACAGGCATAACTGAAATAACTATTATCTGAAACAGCATATAAAATTTATGGCTACGACATAAACGAATATAATCTAGTATTTGTTCGAATATGCGGCAGTCATGTTTTCAAGAGTAAAATAGGGAGAATAATAAGAAAAAAAGTGAAATCAATATGAAAAGAGAAGATTAAAAAGAAAGAATAAATTAATAATCANCCAATTGGCGAAGTTCCAGAGACCATATTGGCGAAAGTATAGTGGACTTTCGCCAATTGGCGAAGCTCCACCGAATGTATTGGTGAAAGTACAGTGGACTTTCGCCAATGGCGAAAGTCCTATTGGCGAAAGTCTTATTGGCGAAATTCCGGAACCCCAGAAATTCGATCATACTATGACTTCCTAACATTAGCAAAATATATACAATAAATGTTTTGTTCTTCGTAAAAGCAAATCTTTATGACAGCATGATGGAGGATGAATAAATTATATCGCCTTTGCAATCAAACAGAAAAAAGTTGTTTTTAATTGCAATCATCTGTTGTCAATGAGTTATAATAAAAATAAAGCTCATACAAAAACAATCGATTGTTATCATACAATAAAGAACATTAATGCAAAGATTTCTCAAAGATTTCGATTTATTTCAATACAGTAAAAGATAATGAATATCCATATCAAGGAAGCCATTGCAAGAAATGATGTCATGATGAGTCTCGCAATAAACTGATTTATAATTAGCGATATCTATAACATTTTTAATCACTACACCCAAAATCCTTTCGTACTTTTCTTAATTAGAACTTTTGAATTTCGAATTAGTTAGAATTTGATCGCCTAGTAAATGTGTATATACCAAGTGTAGCTGAGAAACAAATGTACGACACACACCAATCCGTTGCACGTCACCACAGATCATGTTCATCTTTTTTTTATTGTGACAGACGTCTTTTGTTGGTTGAATTTTAACTACGATATATATATATATATTTCTGCTTGGTTATCTATTAGCTGTTGTTCGAATCTCTGCTGTACATATTAATCTGGTTAGTACATTGATCGAAATGCAATATAAAATATGCTTGATTCATTTTAGATCGTTGACTTAGTCATTTCTAATGGATAAAAATTTATTTCATGAAGCATCAGTATGTATGACATTTGGCAAAAACAAAGGAGCTATAAACGTAAGTTTCTTTAACAATGGATTATATTAAACTTTGTTTTTACAGAAGTTTTCAAAAATTTTGGAAAATGCGGACTTTTCCGGAGAATTCCTGACAAGTTCCGATGCTTTCCGGCAGGAATCGATCGGGAATCACCGGAAAAAATGCAAAAATTTTCCAACCGGAATACCGCTTCCACAAAATTAACGGAACTACCCGGAACCGACCGTTTCCAGGCCGTACTGTTTGACCTGGGTTGATGAAGCTGTTGAAGATCTTCAAGAGGCTGAAATAAAATGTAAGTTGATTTATTATAATGATAGAAATGGTTCATATATTCGTTATAGATGGATACAATTGTTCAAAACGTATTGCATATTTAAAAAAACTTGATCTTGATATATTAGTTAATTCGTATGTGAATTTAACATATTGTCTTTGAAGAAGTTTTTTCGTTGTTTAGAAATGCTGGTGATTCTCAGAATCGTGGTCGTAGTCAATCGGCAAACAGATGAGAATTGTAATACTTTTTTTCTTGTGAAGAAAGAAGGTTATTTTTTATTATAAAAATAAAGATTAAATAAAATCATAATGATATGTTAGGGTTTAATATGATTTAATTAAAAAATTTAACATTTTTGCTAAATGTATAGAAAGCTGAAGATTTGTACAACGTTTAATGAATACTTTGCAGATAGTTTAAAACATTAGAATGTATTAGGTCGTGTTAATTTTCATAAATGAGCCAATAACTTATTGAAAGGAAGCTTGATTTTAGTAAAGTTGTTTACCTAATGAAAAGCAAAACACTTTTAGTACAGATTTAGCAACGTTTAATACTTAATGTATGTTTATTATTGAGGAAACAAAAAGAGTTGAAATAGACATATCTATTGTTTTTTATTTTGATATGTTTATGCAAGTGTTAATCATTTTTGAATGCAAATATTTGATACGTTTGCTTTGTGCAAAGCTATAATTCTTAGTTGAAAACTTGTGTGAAGAAATTAATGAGTAGTCAATTAAAATAAAAACAGACTTTACTATTATATTTGAATTCTGTTTATAAATGAATTAGAATTTGATTTAGTTTTTATAATAATTAAAAGAAAGTGTACTAGATATCATGTTGTCTAGTTTTGTTGTTATTTTAAAATATGCTCTAGTATTTTTATTACTTATTATTGAATTAAAGATTAAGAATGTAATTTGCTTTTAGGAAATAAAATAAAAAGTTTTTGAAAATAAATAATTGTTACTGGAGCTGGTTTGTTGAAAAAGAAAAGCAGTTTTATGTTGTTGATTTCATTTTTATTTATTCAAAGGTTTGGGCTTTGATCAGGGTATAACAATACGATTTGCATCAATTGAGACTACAATTATTATGTGGAATGTTAATGAAATAGACAATGAAGAAACAAAATTCTTCTTTTCGCTAAGCTAAGAAAACTCTTGAGATGATCGTTATGCTTATTGAAAATGTAGGAAGAATTTTAAACGAAATAGAAAATACTTTTCAAATATTTTTCTTTTTCTGATAGTATTATGAGAAATATTTTTCCAATTTAACCTCAGCAATTTTTAACAAATGAAGTTTTGCATTTTCGTTGTTAATGGTCGCCTTATTTATTATAAACAAGTCAAACATTAGTTAAATGTTTAGATGCAATATATAACTTGTTCAGAGAACATAAATAAATTTAACAATGTTTTTATCATTGATTTTATAATGAGATGTTCAAGTTTCTTTTTATCTATTATCAAAATTGAGAAAATGAATCAGTTAGAGTTTTAGTTTTAGTTTAAGTTCGATTATATTTTAATCGAAAATCCATAGGAATAGTGAAGAACGAGAAAACAGTTTTAGAATAGAATTTAATTGAGATTTGATCACGATAAAGTTTTAAGCAAATCAATTCATTTTCTTATTCAATCACATATATTTGAAGAAAACTATTGGTTACTGAGATAAAATATACAAGACTTTTTACAATATTACTTTTTATTCTATTAGAAAATATTTCTTTCAAGACATTCTACAATGAGTCAACTAACTGCTAATTAATGCAAAGGATTATATAATCTAACTGTTGTAAAGAGCCAATGCCTCTTTCTAACAAACTTTTGCATCGCAGCGGCTCTCTCAAAAAATATACGAATTCCTATATAGGATAGGCCTAAAATATATAGGATCGCCCTCAACTATATAGAAAAAATATAGGATGAAAAATTTATTCCAGAAAAAGATTTAGACACCGAAAAATCACTGCAACAGCATTGAAGATGATAATGTGTTGTTTTGGCGCGTATATCTAATCAGCTAAATAAAAATATTATAGAGTTTTGAAAAGTAATGAAGCAGCAAGATTTTCTTAAAACATAAAAAAACTAATTTATGTTCGATTTCTTTTCACTATTGGACATACATGCACTTTAGGGTGTGGGTGGGTTTCTGAACAAAATATTCACACATTCACATTAACACTCACCCACCCACACCTCAATGATCTCAATGAGCTTTTGTTTTCCTATGTGTTACATAAAGTACATTTATTCACATTACGGCATTCAGAGTCTGTTTTGCTCAACCAGTGCGAACGAAATTAATTTAAGCATGAATAAAATCAGTATGATCAATTTTGATAAGAGACATAATTTGTGGCATTGCCTCTGTCACTGTACAAAAAAATGTATTCACACGACGAGCGTAGTTTTTCATCTAGAAAGCTCACTATCAGCAATTAATTATTCACGGTTCTCTATATAGAATAGGAAAGAGTTATAAGCAACTTTTTCTTTTTGGTGATGATAGTGAAAAGTGTAAGGCTATATTTAAGTTTTAGTAAAACAGTAAAAGCTCTCCGCAACTTAAAGGACTACCTTTGAAAAAACAATATATGAACTTGTTTATGTTGAACTGGTATGAGTATTAAAAGTATGTGAGAGAAATCGCTTATTTCATCAATGATATTTGTAAAATTGGTACTAAGGCATCAGTACAGTTCAACATTTTGCTGTTTATAGTATTTTATAAAACACTTTTTAAGTTAGGAAAGCTTGAATCATTACATACAAATTTCAGTTTTCACTTTTTCTGCGAGCGACGAAAATCTTGAAGTACAAAATATGTTCAAAATCATAGTCAATTAACATAAACGAATACAACAAGCATTTTTGTGATCGTAAAAAATTTGATTAGTTCTTCTGCAATTCAAATTTTCAGATTATTAATAGACGGATATTTTATATTAGATCTGAGCTGATATTCCATCACCTATTTTTAAAGTAATTTTCAATATCATCCGTTGTATTCTTAACTTATTAGGTACAATTACAATGGCACGGTACGAATGATTTTTATTCCCCTCACCCAACACATCGACTCACCTTTCTGGATGTCACAATGTCTTGCTGTTTGTGGCTGCTCTAGTTTTGATGACCACCATACTTGTACTATGTATTTATTTTGCTCAACAAAAACAAATAAATCAAAGTTCAAGTATTTTCCAGTCACTTTTAAAATTTTATTTGAATTTGTTTTCATCTCCCACAAAGATTCGGTCATAACAACAGCTGTAGATCCTGGAGCAGTGTCGATTTCTAATGCAAATACAACCCCACCTCAAGCTGAATCAATGGTAGTCAGGGACTGCGCGAAGCAACAAAAATATAGGGGGGTACCTCAAAGTACCTCAAAATAGTTAAAGTACAAAAGTACGATGTTTCCCCCTTGGTTATTCAACAGTTGATATATCTTCCAATAAAATGACTTTCAGTGACACTATATTTGTACCATACTATACAGTTTACTTAAATATTCTAAAATCTGATCAATAAATTTTTTCCAAAAAATATCTTATGTGATTTATATAAAATTTTCCAATCAATTATAGAACCCCATTTTATTGCTACTACCTATTCCGCTTATAATGTAAGATAAACCGTTAACAAAAATCATATTGCCATTCTCACATCAAAACATTTTCTTGTACAGTCGAACCAGAATGACTTCAGCATAGCCCTAATACGTCAAAATTGATAGGGAGTTTCTCAAACTTCATTTACCTAAAGTGTGAATACCATATTCAGTAGCATACGATACTCTGTCGAAATGAATCACATACTTTTATCGACTTATCAAATAATAGAGAACTATTCTTAAGCAAAAAAGACTTTATATTTATCTACTGGATAAGACAAACATATGGATTAATTCTTCCCACTTCAGTTGAAATTTATTTTACCTTTGACTATAATTATAGTTATTATCAATTGATAGTCTTCAATTTTTGTATTCATTTCGATCCATTTGAAGTCATTTCTAGAGAAACTTTGACCAATTCTATTTAGTTGTAGAGCATCCGATGTAATTCCATACTAGTTCTAGCCAATTCATACGGATTCTATATTAGTTCTAACAAATTCAGATCATTTTCAGCCAATTCCTACTAATTCAAAACTAGTTCTAACCAATTTAGGCCATTCTGAGTCAATTCCAGACCAATTCTAATCAATTCCTATTAATTCTACACTGGTTCTAGCCAATTTGAGCGAATTCGAGACCAACTCTATACCAATCCTAACCAATTCCTACTAAGTCAAAACTGCTTATAGTCAGTTTCGGACCAGTTCCGACGAATTTAGATCATTTTGAGTCAATTTTAGACCAATCCCATATCAATTCTAATCAATTCCAATTCCAATCAATGCCGACCAATTCTAAGTCAAGAATTGGAATTGAATTGGTTGGACTTGGAATTGGTGCATCCCTACGGCGAAGTGGTGCGTTTCCGCAAAGAGAATCTCTCTGTCATACGCAAGAGAATCTGCATTGCGCTCCATATTTTAATCGTGCATGGATTGCGTCAGCATGCTTGTTTCTCTGCAATAGGTATTCATGGTGGTAGTTATCTTGGTGATATAGCTATTGACGATCTTATTGTACTATCTAATTTGCAGTGTACAATTCCAACAACTACAACTACAACTTCAACATCAACAACACTGCATACAGGTGCATCAACAGCTTCTACAACAACATCATACATAGGTCCACAAACAACAATAACTGAAACTCCATTTCCAGACGTGTTAACAACTACTTATGCTGGTAAAGGTACTTCATTTTTCAGACAAAAATAGTTCTAACTTTAAAACAAAATCTAATTAGAATGTGCTGAACACGCTTATTATAATGGTGCTATTTGCAAACCACAAGTTGGTAAACCACTTTGCGAGTAAGCCTGTTTTATAAACGAATATGGATATTTCTTCACCGATTAAAGTTTTCTTAAGATGTGTAACTGGTTTCAATGATCCACAATATGAAAATAAAGAGTCATTATCAAACACTAATCATTGTAAGTAATCTATCTAATTTATACAGTATTTGATTTCATTTAAATGTTTGCAGTGGGTGCTATTTTGGGTGGAATATTTGGGCGCACTTGGTGCCATTGCTGTAATTATTGCTGGATATGTGTCTTTCATCGAAAATGATGGCAGCTAGGTTTGGATTGAAATTAATTTTCCCCCGATTAAGATTATTTATAATTCGATTGCTTGTTGTTTTTAGAGTCGAAATTTCAATTACACAATTTGTTGATTCATCACCAAAAAATTCGATTAAAAATCCTGCCTATAGCGACACCGAAATAGTAAATGCTTAAAATACTGAAGTAGGTTTGCTAACTGTGATGTGAAGTTTTGATTGTTATTATTTCGAGACAATATAATTTTAAGAGTATATTCTGTTTTTTCTTGATGCCATTTGAATAAACATGTAATCATATTAAAAAATTGATTCGAGAAAAATGTGAGGACATTTTCAATCGATATCAGCAATTTTGTTGAAATGTATTGGTGCTTTACATCTCATGCGCATTATCAAGTGGATAAACTAATTTATTTCTGACGAGTGTGTGATCTGTACCAGTGTTAGTGAGCAACCGCACACCCACATCCTAAAATGTGAAGATCTTAGTGAATGATGGTTTGATCAAAGAAAATGAAAAATACGACAAACACGTTTGCTATTCGATTGCTATCTAATCAATAAGCTATAAGCATTAAAACACATAATCATAAATTCAATGGTAAGTTTCACTTGTATGAAGAGGGATCTATAGAGAATCTTCAATACTGAGAAACAAAAAGTTCTTTTATTTTTGATGAAAAATTTGTAGATGTAAGATAAAGAAAATAATTAATTTTATATTGTGTTCAATGCATTTGTGATTGATACGATTCACGATGACGAATTTTCTGCATTTATTTATCAATATAGTTTTCTCTACATTGCTTCTGAATCAATGAAATCTATCGATTAATGTATGCTTATCACTTGTGTGATTCAAACAGATTCTGTTCTATTTTTAATAAGCATTACAATATTCATCAGTAATTGTTCGTGCATCATCGAATTTTATCGTTGTTCACTGATCCGCATTGAAATTCATCGATACTGCTCAGTGCTGCCATCTGTCTCCAAAAAGCATTCAATTTAATGTGAGTAACACCTCTTAGTAACAGAACTCATTATACATACTTCTATGGTATGCTATCATCGAGCACTATAAAATTTCATTTTAAATAGTTGTAGATTGTGACTTTAAGAGGAGATTAATAGACCTTGGGTTGAACAATCGTCTTTTGTAACAACCTAATTTTAATGTGAAAAAGATCTGTAAATTAAATAATTAAGAACAGTGATGGATTTTATTCCCGCACGAGATACAAGTGTTACATCTGGCCTTGACCAATCTCAAGGTAGTTTTAAAAGAACAATAAATCTCATCAATCTTTATTGAATATCGGAAAATTTTAGGTCAAGCTAAAAGATTATCAAATGAACGTCAAATGATCGCCAAACTTGATCCAGCTGAACTTCAAGATCGATATTTACGTTTGTACGATGATAATTTAGTTCTTAAGCAGCATGCACGAAAACAAGAAGACAAAATTAAAAGGTAAAAAGCAACATAAAATTCATTTATATTTTAAGTTCTTCTTTCTTCAGATTAGCTACAAAATTAACTAAAGTCGTCGAAGATAAAAGGAAAAGTGAAGCTACTCCATTAGGTACGTAAACAAAGATGAAAAAGAAAATAATCAAATAAATTTTATATTTTCATCATAAAAAAGGTGTCAAGGTGGCTGGCCGAGGTACCGAAACTGAGAATCTTCTTGATGAATATCGTAATAAAATATCTGAATTACGTGATCAAAATAAACTACTTAAACAACGTGTTGTTCTGTCTCAACAGCAATTACAAGCAGCACAACAAATGAAAAAGTCACAAACACTATATGATAATGTTTCATCGAGAATTGATACTGTACGATAATTTTCTTCTTTAATTTTCATTTATTATTGTTTATTCTTTTTAAGGGTCAATCGAAAAGAATCCCTTCCCCATTACTTCATAATATTCGCGTGATTGGTCCACGAGATTCAGCAAGGTAAGCATTTATTTTTAAATCAATATTCAAAAACGTTCATATATTTTATGATAGTATCTAAAATTCGTTTATTTATTGAGTGCATGATTTGAATTTTTTCATACTTGATTATTTTATGAAATCGTGCAGTAGTACTACTATTCTTATATTTCTTGAGCTATGAACTCAAGGCGATGTCTAGGCGAATATCACGCACTCTGCCGTCTATTTAATCGTTTTTTTGCATCATTTCATCATCGACTTGAACTAGACTTCAGTATTAAAGTTTTGAAACAAAACTAGTTCTACGTTAGGAAAATGAGTGATACCCAATTTTCTAGCTGCATATCTCGTTTAGTCTTAATCACTGTAAAACCAATGTCTATGATCACACTTTTCACCTTGCGGTTAGATAACAAATTTTTGAAGGTTGGATTTCATAGTACACTAAAACTCTTTAAATTTGAGAAATAAAAGAGACAATATTTATTGAATAAATAAATCACTGCCATGTTACTTTTTATACAAAAATGCCTATTTAACTTTATGCAATAGTTTCGAGATATGGACGAGAATAATATATTGTACTAAGCATAATAGATTAGTTGTGAACTTATCAGTACTCATATGCCAAGTTTATCATGTGCAGAAATATATTAATAATTTACTAACCAAACCATTTATTTCGCGCATTTTTATTGGTCGTATTCGACTACTAGTATTCCAAGTGAAGTTGAAAACTATTTCTAAATATACATATTTATATTTTAGAAATACTGGAACGACGCCAAGACTTAATACTGGCCTATTAGAAGATGCTCGAGTGGCAAATAAACAATTGTAAATTTTGTTTTTGGAATTTCTTTTAACAAAATAAAAAGAGATGATCGATGCTTTTTTCAGAGAGGAGTCACTTGAAAAAGCTCATCAACAATTAAGTACATATGAGCAACAAATAGAAAGTCTTCGTCAACAACTGCAACAACGTGACGGTGAATACGAACAAAATCTATTACGTTTACGAGGTCAGGCAACAGGTGGTGATTCACGTACCAATTTACAAGAAAATATTGATATGATACGTTTACAACGAGACTTGCGTGATAAATCTGATGAATTAAGACGTTTGCAAACTCAATCTACAAATTTTGAATCGGTTTGTTAAATCTTCAAAAATATCAATGAAATTATTTTCTAAATTTTGTTTTTTCTGTGTACAGCAAAATCGCTCTCTTCAAGTCACAAATGCAGAACTACTAAAAGAAATCGACCGACTTGATAGGCAAATAAAAGATGAACAACAACGAACGGTACAATTACGTACTGAATTAAGAAATGGCTCACGTTCAAATTCAGTTGTCTATGAAGTAATATTATTGAAAAAATACACAATTGAAATCAATTATTTTTTCAATATTTCATCAATTGTTTCTATCATCCTTTTAGTAATACAACTAAATCTGAGCTCAATATTCCTTTAAACAGGATTTAGAGGAATTTTCAGAACATGACTAGATTCTCTTTAGAAATAATTACTGACTGGATGTCTTGCACAACTATTTTTGATTGTTTCTGGAGTTAGAAGGTAATAACTGCGAGTTCCCATGAATAATTATTTATACATGTCCATGTTACCGACAGAAGTATGTCCTAATGTATCACATATCGAGACTTTATTTCATCATTCGTGCGCCTACCAAAGATCTGATCAAAGCATCCTATGCCATTATTACACGATAGATCCTTTTTCTAATTATCTCTAGAATATTAAACAACAAATCGTTGTCAGTCAAAAGCTTCCTAGATTTAAATTAGTAGGAACCGTTGATGATATGTAGAAAAAAAGTATCATTTTCTTTGACAAATTGTTACTTAAGGGTTCCTAGTAATGCAATCTGATTTTATTGAACAAATATTTGTTTCTATTCACCGAAAGAGAATTTTATCCGATATCAAACCGTATAATGAGATTTTTTTTAAAATAACATTGATGAAATATTAGAAACAATCGATGATAACTCTTGTCTTTCAAATTGTATGACTCTATGTTTTGATAAATTAATTTATTTTCTAGCTTCAAGCACAAATAGAAGATTTTCGACGTGAATGCGAATTACTAAAAGAAGCAAACACAAAATTAGTTAGTTCAGCATTTAGTGGCGATCGTGATAGAGAATTTCGAGAGAAAGAACGAGCATTAAAATTACAAATAGCTCAACTGGAAGCAGCTATGAAAGCAGATTTAGGTGAAAGAGGCACTTTACTTGATCGATTAACATTAGAAAAAGGTAGAAATTTATCTTGCAAACAAATTTTAAAAAATATTCTTTTTTTCTCCTATTTTAAGATTCAAATAAGAGAACTGATGACGAACATCGTGCTATGCATTTGAAATATTTAGAAATGAAAGAAAAATATGATGATTTAGCAGAAAAAATGAAGTTTTTTGAACGGGTTTGTTATTTAAATGTGTTTTCATACATAAGATTAAATTGTATTTAATTAGGAAAGCGATATAAATATGAAAGAAATTGAAGAAGCACTTATTATATTACGGCAACGTAAACAACGACAAGAACCTAATTTTGAATTTCTACAAAAAGTTGATGACGAAAAGGGAAAAAGTAAATTAATCGAGACACTAGAGAGTAGAAGACGAGATTATTTTATTTTCTCCTTAAGATTTAAATCGACGATTGCTTGAATTAGAAAGTCAATTAGCTGAAACAGCAAATGAATTAGAAAAAACTCGAAACTTATTATTTATGCAATACAAAATTAATCGAGATTATAAACTTGAAGTATGAAAATAAAAATAGTTTTTTCATTGATTAAAATCCAATTTATACTCTTCTGTAGGTCGATTGTGTTCAAAGAAAATTGGATGAAAATCAATCAGAATTTCAATCACGCATACTTGAAAGTGGTCAATTACTTGATATTCGTGCTGAACGCATTCAAAAACTTGAAAAGTATATTTTTGTCTTTCATAGAAAACACAATCCGAAGGGAAAATATTGCAATATCTTCTTCTTTGTTCACTAGAGCCTTGAAAGACGTTGCTTATGGTACTCGTCAATATCGTGTTCAAGAACAACCAGCTGTTGACGGCAATCTAACCAATGATCTAATTGAAGATGCTGTTGAACTTGAACGTGGTCAAAACTTGATTGAAGTTCATATAAGTCGTGCTTCATTTAATGAACGTGCACTTGAATATTTCGGTAAAAATACTGATCCATCAACATTCTGTTCATTGGAATTCTTTGAACATGAATTACAAATGACTCCGATTGTAAAAGGTCGAACACCAGAATATGATTTTACAGCGCAATATATCGTGAATGTCGATGATTTTCTTCTGTATTATCTACAAAAAGAATATACTGTTATTGAACTTCATCAAACAGTTGGGCAATCATTTCAAACGATTGCTAGATGTAAACTTAGTTTAAAACAGCTTATCGAAGGTAAATCATAGAAAAGAATTTATTTTGAGTTAGTTTTCTTCTTTTTCGTTTTGTTGTAGGTAATCAAGGTCGATTACATGGTACAGCTAAACTCATAGCATCTCATCAAGATACTATTGATATTGGTACATTTGGTGTTGTTGAATATTGGGTTCGATTACGTGTACCGATGGAACAAGCATTCCGTTTGTTGAAGGAAAAAATGAAAGCACAAGGTTATCTTGTTACAACAAGTCGCCAATCAACGAAAACAGCAGATGATATTGATCAACACCGTGAAATGGATCCAAATATGAATGAATTAACTATAGCTATTCTTAGTTGTTCAAATGTAAAAGCATCTTCACCAGGTAAAAAAAACAGAAATTAACGGAATGGCCTGGAAATTTCTTTTGTTGTCTACTTTTAGATCATCAACCTGATCTTTATTGTATATATAAATTTTATGACTTTGCTGATCATGATACAATAACAATTCCATCATCGAATAATCCTAATTTAGATGATCGTGCACAATATCCTGTTCCGATGGACGCTGATCTGGATCGATATCTTAAACAAGCACAATTAACAGTATTTGTTTTTGATGATCGTGATCAAAAAGATGATCGTTATGTTGCACGTGCTGATATTCCATTAATACCACTTTCACATGACAATCAAATTCGAGGTACTTTTGACATGCATAATGATCGTGGTGAAAATAATGGTACTATGGATGTTACATTGAAATGGACATATTCATATACACCACCATCATCAGCAACCCGTACGCCAGCTCAACGTTTAAAGAGTGGATCATCAGTACCACGTGAACCATTAGCATTACTACCTGATGAAAGTATATCGGGTCATAAGACTCTTGCTGAAAAACAAAAAGAAATGAATATAAAATTAAAATCACGAGATGTACTCGGGCCCGACAGTGAACCAAGAACAAAGCCAGGTAATTAAATTGTTCATTCTCGGTTTTCATTTATGTCGTCATTGTAGATTTGTCAAGGAATAGTTCAGGATCACGATCGCCTACTTTTGCACAGCAGCCACGCAATGGACATCAACGAACATCGTCAAATGCAAGTTCACACAGTAAACAAGGTAATTAAAATTGAATTGATACCGCTTAAACTAACTTTTTCTGTTAACAACTTTCAGTTAGCTTCGATAATCGCATTGATAGGGCACAGCCACATCCTCAAAATGGGGTTTGTTGATTTATAATTAAATTATTCTTCAAAAGTTTTTATCATTTTTTCCTAAATTTTAGGATCATCTTACACCAAGTGAAACAAGTCGCACAGTATCACCTGGTAAATAACAACAATTCGTATATAATTGTTTTCAATTGATTTCTTACTTTTCGATCGAAGAGATGAGCTTTTGAGATAATAACTGAATTCTCATTTAACATAACTAAATTGTGGGAACAAATCGGAAGAAGAATATCCAAGGACTAATAGTCACCACTTGTGTTTACGAACAAATATTAATAAGGCTTGAAAAGCTCGATATGCATAACTCATTTTTCACTATTTCCTACCACATAAAATAATGGAATTTCTTCCTGAAATAGAACTGATTAGCAGATATAACAATGTTGATAATATTTTGAAAATGCCAGTCTACTCTGGAAATTCAACACCACAACAAAATAACTTATTCGCTTTAGTTGAAACTTGACATCATTTTAACAACTAAATAACTAAAACCATTGTAGAATCATTAAATTTTTAGTAAATTTTCAACATTATGTGACATGTTTATGTCTCAAACGTTACATCAGAGATCGCCCTCATTATTCTATCTATGATACGATTGATGTCTTTTTTCGCGAAAATAGTATCAGTATATATACATATATTATATATTAAGATTCATATGATGATGTAGACAATCCACCAATTCCAACAACACGCTATGTAGATGAATCTGATCCCGATATTGTTTACCAAGGTTCAACGCCAATTAATTCTAAAAAACTAGATGATACTGTAACAATTGGTGTACATGAGCTTGTACTCAATGACAAATGTTCTGTATTTGCCGATGACAACTGTGAAAAAGTATTTGTTAGTGTAGAATTTCTAAATTATCCAGCAGAAGATCTTGAAACACCATATGCATTACCAAAAGGAGAACCAAAGCAAAGACATAGCTTTAATTTTCAAACTGGTATGATAAATATGATTCGCTCGTGATGTTTTTTCTAAAATTCTCTTTACTTTTTTGTGTCAAAGATTGTTCGGTACGTGATCAAGCAAAGAAAAAACTACTTACTGATTTTATTGGACCGCAATCCGATGGAGAGTAAGCCTCTGAAAACTAATAACAACAATCGCATGATAATAAAAAAATATTAATTTATTTAGAATTAAATTTGTTGTCGTAGCTGAACCACCCGACGATCAACTCACACTTGATTGTGTTGATATTGGTTACGCGACTGTTAATGCTAAACAACTTTTACAAAATGAAAAGGATCTTATTGAAAAAGATATTGATGGTAGAGTGATTTTATTATTGTTTTTTTATTTTTATCTATTTTGTATTTCAAGTACATGATATGGAGGATCCTACAGAAATTGTTGGACAAATGAATGTAACCGTATCAATTGTTCAAGCGTTGAAAAAATTAAAGCAACAAGAGCAAACTACTCGTCGAATGCAAAATTAAAATAATCAACGAAGACTTATCATCCATCGGATGTCAGATAGAGATACATCATGATATCTTGACTATAGTTGGGCTCTTTTTTTTCTTTTGTTTCAATGCTTTGTGTGTTGTTTAGACAAGTTTCTATATTTTGTTTCTCATTAATTTTCATCTTATTTCCATCTTATTATTAAATTGTGTGTCTTTAGTAGCGTGACAGGTGAAAGTTACCGAAAAATATTTGAAATTATATAAACAAAAAAGAATTGAACGAATCGATCCTTCAAAAATTAATTTTGTTGTACTTCGTTTTCGAGAGGGAATAAACTTTTAAAATTCAATTCATAAATTTGTCCTAAGCCACAAACAAAGTTTTGGTCATGTCAAAAAGATGAATCACCAAATGGGATTAAACTAAGTAGACGCATCACTCATAACTTCAATAGACAAGTTTTGATGTTGACGTCTTTCCATCAACATAATTGGATAATGATAAACAGGAATTGTTTTCTAGGACATTTGGATTCTTCACACGCAATTCAACAGTATGAACATTCCATTTTTATTTTACTCAACAAATACAATTTCATAGTTTTTGTTTCTTGTCTTTCTCTTCCTCATCATTATAGGCTGAAGCCTTGAAACTCTTATTGAAAGGAATGCAGTTAAAAACATCGGCTTAAATTAATTGAAAAAATAATAATATTGGCCAAGATTTATTAAAAGTTAAAATATTTGAATTATTAGAAAAGGAAAATTCAATGCTGAGTAGTGTTCCTCAAATTCACGCGAATCGACAGTAAAACAACAGCGTGATGCTCTGTCAAACTAAAAACTTGCATTTTCATTAGTAGATTCATGAGCTGTAAATGTTTCCTATAATTATTATCAACTGTCGCTCAATACTATCTGACAGAGTATGAACTGGGAAACCATTACACTTGCAGACGAGTTGATTTTTGTTACAAAGTCATTTGATAGCTGAACAAATACAATACTTGTCACATTAGACATGACGACCTTCCAAATGAAGGACACTCAACAATGCAAAGAATGATCTCTGAAAAATTTCAGAACGTCTACTGTGAAATTGTTTTTCATTTCATCATGACAACATCTCCTCTAGTTGAGAATTCCTGGCTTATATTCATTAGAGTTTCATCTTTACTGATAGCATCACAATAGGTAAAAGTGAATTTTTTGTTTTTTAATCTACGAAAAAAAGGGAAATATTTATTGTTTACTTTCAATGAAACCAAAGCAGTATCAACAATAATAACAACACAACAACAAAATGAACGAGTACAAGAAGAAAATAATCACATTAAGACACTTAGGATACACACATAAATCTTCTTTTTCTTCTATCAATTATTGCGAATGAGTTGCACTCACTACATACATAAAGTGAGTTTATTCCTTTTTTCTACGAATAGACAAATGTATAGAAAAAAAAACGCAATGTACATTTGGATAAGAAAAGCAAAAAATATTGTTCTATCTATTTATCTTAATCAATAAGTTCTTCTTGTTGTTGTTGTTTACCTTCAGCATCATCAATTTTTTCATCTAAATGCTTTTTTTCAACTGATTTTCGTTTTCCAACACTACCAGCTGTTGATCGTCGTTTTTTAACTGCTGCTGATTCACGAGCTTGTAATTCGTTACGATATAATCTTGACAAAACAACTAATTGATGTTTAAGAACAGCTAAGCTGCTCGATGATTGAACATCGTTAAGTAGATCATTTTCATTTAATGTATCGCAATTATTTTTCTCACTAAACCATTGAGAATTCTTGATGATTAATGATGGATGAGTAAAAAGAAACGTATAAAACCCTGAAAGATACAAGTTACAAAATAAGAAAAAAAAAACAATCGCTTCGAAAAACAGTCGCTTACATTCTTGCGGTATATCGACATGTGTTCGATTGAGATTTAAACAAAGTATATGTTCGAAGCGTCGTTTAGCTTTTTGTTCAGCTTCTTCAAATGTTTTTAAGCCTAGTTGTTCAAGTGCATCGAGTACTTCTTGTTCTTCAAATGGTGACAAAAATCCAGTCCGTATATCATGTTGTCCACTAAGACTGTTATTTGTTGATGAACTCATAAAAGCTTGTGGTTTTACAATTGGTTTACGTTGTGTTATAAATTTAGTTGTCACTGATGGACTAGCAGAATTAAATTCTGGCGCTGGACTATCGTCATTACTTGATGATCCTGATGGTTGTGTGAGACGTGGTCGTCCACGTTTTCGTCCACTACTTGTACCATTAACAAGTTTAGTTGCATTTGATTTAACGGGCGTTGTCTCATTTGGATTGATTGTTGGTGCTCGTTGTTCATATGAAACTGATGAACCATTTGCTGTTTGTCCAAAAACAGTTTTTATCGGAGTAGACTTTGGTTTTTCCTCAGATGAGACTGTTTTCGGTTGATTAGTTAATTTTCTTGGTGGTGATGGACTTGAATCGGAATCGTTTGATATTTTTTTACTAAGTTTAATCTTAACTAATGAAGGTTTACGCATAGGTGATTCAGTTGATGAATCTTCATCGTCAGATTTAAATTCAAATGTTTTTTCGGCAAGTAATGAACGATTAGCTGGATCGACTGTTGATTCTTCGGGTTTAGTTGCAGGTGTTTTTGGTCGTCGACCAGATTGACCTTTTGGAGTAGCTGAAATAAACAAGTAGAACGAGATAATCAGTCAGAAGTAAAAGAAAAACAAATAATTAATTTACTATGTTTTTTTGAATAAAATTGAACTTTAGATTCAATGTTTTGAAGACGTTTTTCACTTGTTTGTTTAATGGCGTCATCAGCTTCACGGACGGCTGTTTCCCAATCTTCACGTCGTCCGATAGTAACCTTTAATTGAAATCGTTCAGTTAATTGTTCTTTTTGAGATTTTGTTTGTGCCTAAATAATAAAATTGAGAACTATGACTAGTGAAATTTTCTTAACTAGATCCCATGACATACCTTATCAACCATTTCTTGAGCATACGTAGTAAATGCTTCAACACCTTGATAAGGTATTATAGCTGTATCAGATACCCAAGCAAAATCAGCAGTTGAACCGTAGAAGACAACAAAAGACATGCGTTTTGCACGTGCATTACCTACAAAAGAAGATAGTAATTCATCGAATATTTTCTTTTCTGAAAATAATCTATATACCGGTAATTTTTGTAAATGAACTGCTAGCATCGTTTGGATCTCGAACAACAAGACTTGGCCACCTAAATAAATAAAAACATCTGGAAATGATATTCCTGTACATGATTATCTTACCATGGATGACCACCCATTTTAACCCAAACAACATCAGCCACATCATTAACTACAGGAATATTTTTGTCTTGTTCTTGATCATCATCAATTTCAGCAGATGCTTGTTCAACTTTGGCTTTACTAGCTTTTGGAGTACCATTAGTCATACTCGTTGGTACTTCTTCGCCTACAATGAAATTTATTAGTCATAAAAAATTTTCAGATTTCAGTTTTCTCACGTTTTTGTAAACTACGTTTTGGTCGTCCATTTGGTATGGTTTCTGTTGTTTCAGATGCTTTTTTCGTTGATCGTTTTCGTTTACCGGCCTTATTGTCACTAGATGTTGATTCTTCTTCATTACCATATATTGGTTTTTCTTCTGAATCAGCCATTTCAACATCGTTCGGTGCTTCAACTACTGATGGGTTAGTATCAGCTTCTGACTGTTGTGTTGACGTAGTCATCGGGTGATTTAACGTCCCTTCAATTTGTTGGAATGATAATAACGAGTTTTGAAGACAAAGTGAATAAGTAATAAATGAATCTAATAAACAAAGAATCAATTTAATTGAACCAATTAGAATTTTACATCAATTTCACAGAATCAAAAGATTGAAAAAATAAACTCTCAGACCAATTCAAAGTAAATGAACGATTTATTTAATTTATTTGAAACATAATGTCGAGTATATAAATTCGTTGGATCGATAAGATCACTATAGAGGTCGTTGCTAAGATACTTTTGATGGTTATAAGTGCAAATGAGAGACGAGACACACCTGTGAAGTTTCTATGCTTTTATATATATTATTTTTTTCTTTTCTCCTCAAACAAGAGAAATGACAACTATTGAATTTGGTGGCGGACCGTCTATCGAAGCTCGCCGGCAATTTAGTAATCTGAAGGATGGTTCACAAGTACCAAAGTAATAATTTTCATGAATATAGATCTAGAATGAATACAAGTAGAAAATATTGAGGTACTAGAAAGTGTAAGTGTATATGTTTTGTGAGATCAACAGTGCGTTGTTAAGTCAATGTTGAGAAGGTAACGAGAATGTATGAAGTCTGCATAAACACTTGAGAAACATATATATATATATATGTATATATTCTGTCAAGTATATGAAGTTTTTTTGTTCAAGAACAAATTTATTCTGAGCCTTTGGCATTTTCTTAACAAAATAAAAATTCGTTAATATTATCGAAATACCTTGAAGAAATATAACAGGGATTTTATTTTTAAACGAAAAACAAATAAAATCAACAGAATGGCGCGCTTCGTTGAAACCATATACATAACAATTGCAATTGTACGGTGTGTGAAATTTGATAATTGATTTGTTTTTTTGAAGAGTTTTTATTATTGACAGTGATACTATGAAACCGTAGAAGTAGTTTCTTTTTGAAATTTCTAATGATTCTCTGGCAGCAGTTGTGTTTTTTTTTCGCTTGCTATCAATTTCTCATATTACTAATTAGTATGTTGTTAGAAGATTGAAAAACATGAATGATTTGATTTAATGACTAGTCTATGCAGTATGCGTACGATAGATTTAGTATTTTTTTAATTGAATCAGATACACGGGACATATCCACCAATTGCGCTATCGTCATGGGTATACGTATGGTGAAGAGACACATCGTTTAGGCCAAGAGTATCCTGACACAGTACATGCGAAATCTGAAGCACCGATTGCGAAATTCGATCAATCGGATCCATATGAGACGCATGAATTTCCCGATGGAATGCTTCCAGGCTATACAGGTGAATAACATTTCATAGAAGGTTTTATTGTTTTGTTTTTCGATCTCATTTTTACGATTTATTTTATCTAAGGTTACATACCTCAAAGAAAATATCAACTTGGTAATCGATACCGTACCGAATCAGATGCATGTTTAATAGGAACAAAAGCTGCTTATGAAGATGCTAAAAATAAATCTAAACTACTGCGAAATACAGTTGCTGCTTATCCAAAAACAAAGAGCTTAAATAGTGGCACAGTAATAAAACATTTTCTTGATTTTCATCGAGCTTACAATCCAAACGAGAATTCGCAAAGAAGTAAAACAAAAGAGAAAAGAAAAGAAAACTAATTATATTATAATTCTATAGCTGATCGTCGTCAATTTACTGAGCCACCGATTCCCGGTTATAGAGGATATATTCCTCGTATTCGTCCAACAGATATTGGACTTGGCTTACGATATCATGAAGCAACAAAAAAAGGTTTAAATCGTTTCGCTGTAGAATCAACAAGTTTAACAACTAATTATCCAACATCAATCGATTTACCTTCAGAATCAAAGTAAATATTATTTGAGAAATATGAATCGATACCAAAAACTAAAAAACAAAACTTGATCTTTTTCAGTCTAACAATGTATTCATTTCAGTTTTAACAGGTTGTTTATGTTCAGTAGTTTGCTCATTGTAAAGATACTTCTAATTAGATATTTGCTATTGATTCTATGTTGTCTATAGCTTTTCGAACAAAAAAAAAACGCTATTGGAAACATATTTATAATAATTTTGTTTTGTTTCTTCAAAGTTTACCACCGAATGTACCAAAGCAACGTTCATTCACAAGTTTTTCAAGTCATCGATTGTATGGAAACTCAGGAATGGTTCCAAAATATACTGGATATCTTCCTCGTATGAAAACTTGATTTTTTTTATCAAGCCATTATTATGCTTTTCTCTGTTGTTGTTTTTTTCTAGAAAACAAATATCATATTGGAAAAACGTATGGTGACACAAGCCGAGAATTAGCTGTTTGTGCTCATTCATTTAGTAACTATGGAGATTATGTACGATCGCAATCTTCAGTAAATTTTCATGATAACAACGAGGCTTAACAAACAGTATAATTATTCTTCGGTGATATTTCTTTATAATTCATTGACCTGTATTGTCTTTCACAAAAAGAAATTTTTTTTTTTATTCATATAACCCATAAAAGAACACATTTCCAATCATTAGTCAATATTAATCGAAGTTAATTATTTTTCTTTTCGTTTCTGTGCAGCTCACATTTGATTTTATTATATAAACTTATTATTAATTAAAATTAAAGAAAACACATCATCTGACCGAAATCTCATTAACGAATAAAAAGACTGTTTTTCATTTTTATTTTCAATTAGTTTGATTCATTTATTAATTGAGTAAATAATAAAGGCCAAGAGCGTGCTATTTGAATAGTTACTGATTCTTTTCGAAAAGCATCTTCCATTGCTGATTGTACCAATGATTTCGCCAACGCTGATCGTTCAGCAATGAGCTATTGAATTTAATATTGATAGTACAAATATTTTCATTTGAAAGTCTTTTGTTTTTCAACTCACTGGGTTTATTTTTGTTTCAGTCAGTAATGGATTTATTGTGTCTTGTATTGGTTTGATTACAGATTTTTGTTGTGCTATTGATGTTGTTCGATTAAATATAGGTGGTGGATTTGTTCTAGAGAAAAAAGATTTTGCTAAACAAAATGTTTTTTTCTTAAATATAATATTACTTGACAGAATCACCATCTGTATCACTACGTTCACTCATAGAATCTTGTTGATTCGCAATGGTGTCAAGAAGACGTCGTTCTCTATTTATATTTATTGATTCAGTAGAATTATTGGTGCCAGTCGTATTGTTACTACTGTAACTATTGGTATTAGTATTATTACTGTTGTTAGTATTATGTTGCATTCGTATTACTCGGTGAATCCGTTGATCCTATGAAGAAAATATTCTAGTTTTGTTTTCATCGTCGAAATCAAATTCCTTTACTATATTCATCGGTTGACGAACATCTTGTTTATTTGTAGCAGATAACGATTGAGATAAAATAATCTGTTCATATGCTGCTGTAAATGCTAATGGATTACCTATAAAAATAAATATACTGATAAGTAGTTGAATAAATGAAGGTCATTAAAGTTTTTTGTCTTTACCCTCAAGAGATAAACATTCAAGTGTAGTAAGTTTTGATATACAACGAATATCATCAAATCTACGAATTTTATTAAAACTTAAAAATAGCCTCTGAATAGGTAAACTCTCCAAATCGCACTAATTTAAAAGGAAAAAGAATAAATTGATTTTGAAGTGACAAGAAAATCATTACCACAGTCGTAATCAGATTTCCTTGTAGGTTAAGTTCGACAAGATTTTTTAAGTTTTTTAAATTTTCACATTTTTCTATTCGATTGTGTGATAAATTGAGGACACGCAAACGTGTTAGATTTTTAAAATTTTCAATGCGAGAAATCTATGTTCATATAAAGAAAAGCATTATCAAAAGAAGTACTGTTTCAACAGAAACTTGCTTGATTTCCATTTAAATCAAGTACATCAAGTTGTTCAAGTGCGTCGAGGTTCTTTATTTGCTTTATTCTTCATGAATGAAATGTAAATAGTTGCTGTTTCTTCTCTTTTTTTTTTTTTTTGTTTTTAAGAATCTTACTTATTATTTGCTAGTCGAAGAATTCTCAATGAAGATAAATTATCCAAACCTTGAATACAATCGATTTCATTTTCACATAAATCAAGTACAACAAGACTTGTTAAATGATCAAGATTAGCTATTTTAACAATACAATTTTTTTGTAAATTAAGTAATTTTATTTGTTCGTCAACTTGTAAATAAGGACATGCTAAAAGTTGTTGTCTATCAAAAAAAGAAAAAGAAATAAATTTTAGAATTACTGTTTTTTTCTCTTCTTCTATTTTCGTAAATAATAAAATAATAAACAAACCGTTTTAATACAACTTTGCCTGTTGATTGCTGAGCTTGTAGAGCATTAGCATCTTCTCGAGCAGTCAAACCCGGATTAACGCCCTGAATACCAAATACAGTATCGTTTAAAGAGCGTTTGTTCATCTGTAAAAAAAAAAACAATCGAAAAAAAAAATTCTATTAGGCTTTGTAAACTCATAAACAGCGTCTCTCTTTGAGTTGTCATGACTCTTTCCTCCTTTTTCTTCGTCTCACGTTCTCTTTTTCTATATTCAAAAGCAAATAGAAAAATATACATTATTGATGTTACTGTCAGCCAACAACAAGAAATATGGAATTATTTTCACAACAATCGACATTCACGCCAAAGAAAAAAAAAGAAAAACAATAAAATTGACTATGACAAACGAGAATCTATGTCGATTTGAATTTCCACAATTACTGGATAATCACGCATTGATAAAAGAAATCCATTAGTTGTTGTTGATGGGCTGATACCTTGAATTAAACCAAGACCAAATTGAAATTCTTGAAAACTTCGCTAAAAGTTAATATAAATAATTTCGTAGAGAACTATTAAAGATTAAAATGATTTTTTTCAACTTACGTCCGAATGATTTCGAAATAAACGAAGTTGTCCATCTTTACCACAGGATAGAACCAAATTTGGAGTAAGAGTAATTACGGATGTATGCATATCAACAGTAGATTTTTCTATAAAATGCAAATTAGTGGTCGAAAATAAAATTAGAAATTTGTCCTATAGCATTTCGATTTTCTAGATAACTGACATGATTCATACATAGTAAAAATTTTCTTTAATAAACTAACGTCGAACGCATAAATAATGAGGAGATTTACTAATTTTAATATCCGTATTTGAAATATTAATAGAAGCGCGTATGTTTGCATGTGTCACGCACTGTTTCATAGTTACAGAAATTTTGCACAACTAACTCAGGTTGATATTTTCGTAATAGAAACTTAATGGTAGAATTCTTTCAAGAAAAATCTTTAATTATGAAGTTAATCTGTTGTCTTATGAGCAGAGATTTAACAGAACTCAATATTCCTATGTTTCTATCAAACATACCTATTAAATTACACATAATTGGATGTGAAACATGGTACCATTTAATGTTGTTCATATTTATTCCTGTGATAAGTTCAAAAGATGGTATTGACCCTAAAAATATTCTTTTGAAATTTGATTTTATTAAATAACTAATCATTACTTACAAATACTATAATCATTATCGGTATAGACAACAAGAAGATACTTTGAATCTGTTGACCACATAACATCGCTTACAGGTGGATTATTATTCTGAACAAAAATAATTTTTTTGCTTTTTACAACGAATAAATATATTTTCTTTTCGATATATTACATGAAGTATTCCATCGGTGCGAAGATAAAAATCTCCATTACCTATAATTTGAAACATATACACTTGCCCATTGTGCAATCCAACAGCTAATTCTGAACCATCTGTTATTTAGAATAAGAAACAAATTTTGTCTTTTTAAATAATTTAAAAATAATAACAAACCAGGAGAAAATCGAACTGATTTAACACTTGTATTAATTTTTAATGTTATTGTTGTTATATAATATGACGATAAAGTATCATAGATCAGTAATTTACTTGTTTCAGTTCCAAGAACAATTATGTTTCGTTCAGGATGCAAATCAGCACATGATATAGGTTGCTAAAAATGCAAAATAAAAAAACTAATTGTACATCCATATTTAGGATAGATAGTTATTATTTACCGTTGTTTTCGTTCCCCATTCGACAATTTTTGTGCTATTATTCCATTTGAATAAATGTCGATCGGAACTCATAGAAAAAAAATAATGGCTATTTCTATGACAACATACACGAATCAATGGACTTGTATGTCCCTAAATGAAACAATTGTTATTTCTTCTTTAAATTAAACTAATCATAAAAACATACGCGCATAATGATATCAAACTGTTCTTTGTCAACATCTTTGGATATTATGTAATTTGCTTTTGTTCCGATCGCTAAGGCAACAGAAACTGAACCTTGCCGAATGCAACAGATTGATTGAATGGAACCAACTGTTTCACTCAACTATTGAAAATTAGACAAAATAAAATTGAATTATGATTTTTGAAGATTAATAGCTTTTTCTACTCGTATGTGTTCAATTGTATTTGAATGTAAATTCCAAATTTTTATTTGATTTTGTCCATTGGCAAGAAGAAATTCGTCTGGATTTATTGGTACAATGGTTTCAACATCATTCTAATATTAAAAAATTAAAAAAGTCTAATTGCATAAAATAAAAATCTTGTCATTACTTCTAAAATACATTCTTGAACGACAAGTAATTTTGGTTCATTATCAACTAAATTCCATACATGAATACTACCAACTTTATCACCAACTAGTAATCGTTCGCCAAGCATATCACAGGCTGCTGCTCCAGTATAAATATTCTAAAATTCCCAATGAATTATTTCTCTAGTCAAATTCAAGTAAAATATTTCTTACTTGAACTTCTGATTCTCGTCGTTCTATCATGTGTAATGGTCGTAAACTCCAATCTACATGATAGAAAAGTAAATTTCGTTGACTGATACATGCTATCCATTCAGTTGTATTGAATACAAATAGTACTGAAAGAATGTTATCAGTTTTACACTAGAAAATAAACAATTATATTTTCATTTCGATAATACAATAAATGCGGAAACATCGAATTTGTATCCGGTTGTTATGTGTACTGCAAAAGCTGAGTCGATTTATATATGTTGTGAATAATACTGAGAAAAAAACGTTTTTTTTGAAAAATCCCTGTACCCCCCTCCGGGATGGTTTGGTCAATAATGACAATTTTTTCGATAACTCAGCCATTTCTTGACGGATCCCTCTCATCTTCGAACTCGACTGAGATATTGATGAGATCATTCTGTGTACAAAATTTCATGACAATCGGATCAGCCTTTCAGGAGCTATCGTGTAAACACACTGACCGATTCTATAGTGTACTCACTTTTGTTTTTTCAGTACACAAAAAGATCCAAGAATTTTCTATTTAACTCAATAAATAAAAATAATAATAGATAAACTGGTTAAATGTGTCCACCAAGAAAATGGGTCCGATAGACTGCATCGATGAAATGATTCCGATCTTAGCTACAACGATGTTTTCTATGGTCATATAGAACTTTTATGATGATTTTTATTCTCTAAATAAAGAAGGCTAATTCCGGTATGGAGGAATAAACTCAAAATTAAAAAGGTTAAATCATTCATCTATTTTTTACTTCTCGTAAATGTTTCTGTGAGCGTTTTAAACATCTTGCAAAGTTGAAGAAATGAAGACGACACTATTTATTACTTTTCGAACTGCTCAAGATGAATTGATATTAAGAAAATAAATAATTGATTGAAGCTGAATGACACTCACTGTAATACTATAGATTAATTCATTTCGTTTCCAATCAACAAATAAAACAATTTTAGGTCTATCACGTGAAATAATAAGAATTAAATTATCGTCTGTCTTCGGTGCAAATGATAATAATGTTATATAAGAACCAAATTGTTCTTTACGTATTGCAGTTATTGTTCGAAGTTTTACATGATCCCAAATATGTATTAAAGCTCGTGAATTAGATTTCGATGAAGACATTTCACTTGATGCAACTAACGATTGATATTGATGAACATGAACGCTAATGAAATTTATCAAAAATTAAAATAATCATTTTTAAACAAAAATTATTCTTACCTAGTGATTGAATCATCATGTTTGGTATAGAAACGTTGCTGTTTTAATTTTGATTCATATAAAATACATATTGAACCAATAACATAAAGTATTTCATTTTCTGGAAGAGTATAAAGTTTTTTCGTTAAATCATTGTCACCATTATAACCATGGCTAAATTAAAATTGAAAGAAAATAGGGCTCAACTTTTTTAATCTTGAATATTTTATACTTACATCCAAGCTAAGGATAATTTCGCATTTTCAATCACTATAAACGAAAACAAAACGTGTTGAAGCTTTAAAATCTTTTTTTTCTTTTAAACCACATACGTCTTTTTGAAGGTCGTCTGTGATATGTTTTAACTGTTGCTCGACGTGGTTGTAGACGGTCCGTAAATAATTCTCTAGGTGTCATTTTTCCTAAATAATGTTTTGCATGTACATATTCGTCTTCTGTACATGCAATAAATGTATCAGTCTTTTTTACTGCATTGAATAGTTTTGAAAAACTTGAAACATCGGTAAAAGCATCTTGTGTGACGCCAAATAAATGTGTTATATTTTCATAATTTGTATAATGAGATACTAAACCTGTTATTTGTACCTGTAGCCATTCTTCAAATGTTTGTGTTGTATTTCGATTAAGAATCATACTTGAATACATATTTAATTTTGAGTAGGGCATTACAAAAATTTGATCATTACTAGACGGCGGTGAATGCCAACGTGCATGAGCAGGTGCTCGAGTATTCCAGTAGGGTAGTACCTCTTTTTGAGCACTTGTATGTAACTTTAACTTGGATCCATCAGAAAATGAATTATTCTTATAGCGATATTGTGTGGGAATAAATAAGCCGGATGCAACAACATAGGATTGACGATTTGAAAATTGATTAATTGAATGAATTTCTTGACCAGTGAATGTATAAATATGTTTTATGCCACCAGTTGATAAACGTAGTTTTGGCTGACGATCAAGATAATTAAGAAATGCTTCCCAAGATTTAAGTTCGAATTCATTAACAGCCAATTTAACACCATGATGATATGCATCGCCATTACGAAAAAATCGAACTAAAGCGCCTTGAACTGACTGATTCATTGATGGTATAGGACCATATAGTCGAGCTAACGTTAAAAAAGATTAAACCGAATAAATTAATCTAACTTCAACGGTAATGTATAAAATGCTGCTGCTGCCTCATATGCGTATAATCAGATGTTTTAAAATAAGTCGTAAAGTTTTTCTTTTTTAATAAAAGAAAAATTCACGGCTTCTCTTTTATTTGTTAGACTGATTATTATTCACAAGGCCTGTCATTAGATATATTCTCGACCATCGTAAAGTATACAATAAGAAACTAAATTTAAAAGGAGTTACTCAAGAGGTTTGTTAATATTTTTTGCCAGCAAGAACTTATTAGATCGAATTAGACTTTATAATTAATCCTGTAAAGTAAAAAATTTTATATTTATACTTCGATTCTTTTATGTTTTTTTCGACTAAACAACTTCATTCTTAGTCATCGAGGAAAAATTTATTCTTGATATTTACGTGTATTTAATGACGGACTATATTTAAGTGACGACGACTTTCCAGTTGATGTAATCAATGATGTTGATGATGGCATTTTATTTGTATATTTTATTATCGGTATTAGCTTTGATTGATTTGGGTGTATATGAACAACACTTCTTATTTCATTTTGTGACTCTTGTTGTTCTATTTCTTCTTCATTATTGAGATTCAATGGTGAGAGAAGTTCGTTTGAATTAGTTCGTTTTACAGTGCCATTTGATGGATACTCTTGTGCAAATGTCGTCTTTTGTCGATGATCATGACTTTTATTGTTGGGATAAGTATCATTTCTACTAAGAATAGTATTGGTTTTATTATTACTAGCATTATTGACAATATTCGACATTTCTCTGGGGCTCGTGTGTTGAGTACTCTGATTTGTAACGGTTGATTTTGATTTATTTGTTGGTGGACTTGATTCTGTACTAGATTGTATTACATCGTCATCATCATTATAATCTTCTTCAATGGGGGCTGTTAAGGGTTTTGTTTGTTTTTCTAGAAAATTCAATTAGAAAAGTATGATGAAGGGAATATAACTTGTTTTCGTTTTGATTTTTTCTCTCACATACTTTCACGAGCATATAGTGTTGTTGGTTCTTTTAATAGAGAAAACGAACTAACACCTAATGATGTATTTGTTCGTCTGAGTGCAGGATTTGTTGCTTGTCGATTCAATGATGGAGCATGAGCAGCCCTTGGTGAAGGATAGCCATTGGTATCGTGATTATGAACTTCATTTTCACCATCCTATAAGAATGATTTCATAAATAATTTTCATCGGTGCTTGTTATGTATCTTAGAAACCAAGTCAACTAACGATGTAGATTGTTCAAATTGCTTTTTTTTGCATTGTGTATATATTTACATTAACTTTAGTGTTTTTTCCCTCTACTTGATTTTTAGAACTTTAACCGGAAAAGAAAAATTAGAAATGACTTGAACAAGCAATTTTCAAATATTCACAGAAGCGTATGGAAAAGCTATATTGATATAAAAGAAATAATATAGAAAATATGATTTTTGATTTTTGCGATTGCTCTACCTGAAGTTTTTTTTATTTGTTTTTCTCCTAGAATTTCTATTCCTAAAGTTGAGTCATCATACTTGATCAAAATCGACATAGCTAATAACGTTAGTGAAACGTGTTGGAACATTAGTATGGTATGACATAGCACTATTTGAATTTGGTAACATAATTTGTAATACGCAAAAAAATGATTTTGTACGACAGATGAATTCCAGTAGTATTGGAAATCTTTTTTTTTGTGATGAAGTATATTCTGCTTAATAATTCAATTTTTCTTTTTCATTACTTTCTTGTATATTCCAAGGTTTCTATTCATCTTGAAGCCGAAAGAATGTAGTTGTAATATGTAACTCTGTTGTATTTTCTTTTTCTTTTATTCAATCAAAAAGCTTCTTTTATTTCAATACATAGTATGTACGTTGTTAGAGATCTTGGGGAGGGGCGGGGGGGGATTTAGAATTATTTTATTTATCTTTAAATCTATGATGTCAGTTTAACCTCGGAGATTCTTGAGTATGTTTGTTCTATTTAGAACTTTGAGTTCAACTCTGGCTACAAAATGACAAAGGGATCTTTTTTTGTATTAGAGCTTGTCTGGCTAACTCAGCTACCGGAGACGGGGTGCGTTACTATTTTTATGCATTTTGCTGTTCTCATTACTTTTGAACAGTTTACTAGAGAAACACGGGCAACATCTTGTTTTGTTCACTAAAATGTGCTCTACCTAGTATACTGTTCATTTTTGCTGTCTAAAATGTTCTTTCACCTCTCTTACGAAAAATACAACAGAACAAAAAATAGTTTAAACATATTAAGTAAATTGTGTATTTTTCATAAGATAGGTGAAAGAACATTTTAGACAGCAAAAATGAACAGTACACTTTGCAGAGCACACTTTAGTGAACAAAATAAGATGTTGCTCGTGTTTCTCTGGTAAACTGTTCAAAAGTAATGAGAGAAGCAAAATGCAGAAAAATAGTAACGCAGCCATTTTCCAGTAGCTGAGTTAGCCGGACAAACTCATTATTGAAGTCAATATCGGAGTTCTTCAAGTAAAAATATCCAATATTTATATTCTTACATAATAAACAAGTCTTATTTGTAATATGTCATGCGATAAATAACAATACACGACTGTATAGATTCAGCAATAATTTTCAAAACAAACAAAAGCACGAAAGGGGCGCAATATTCTCATTAATAAATAACAAAAAGAAGAAGTATGTACACTAACCGAAAGAGAATTTCGAAGGTGGAACTGACAAAAAGGAAAAATTTCGACTATGCATAACTTTAAATTGTAATTATAATAAATTAATCTTCTTTGATGTTATATTTTTAAAAAGTGCTTGTTAGTATTGTGAAAAATTGTCATGAAGACTTGATAAGTGCAAAATTTCGAGAACTTGTTCGATATGTAAATATAGAGAAAATAAAAATCTTGAAATTCTATATATTGAATTCAAAACTGATATTATTTTCCTTATGGGATTAAAAGGTATTCGTAAATAGTTGATCGGTGATTTTGAAAAATAAAATCAAGTCAAACGTCCATATTATCTGTTTTATTAAAATCTATTGAGTCTTCTACATGATCGTATTACATAGAACAAAGTGTCTCGTATGGAATATGTTTTTTCAACTTATAAAATCAACTATATATGAAGTTATTTGAAAAAAAGAAAGATTACACTGCTTTTTATGCAATTTTTCACCGATTGACACTTTATGTATCTATAAGAAAATTTTATATGAAATTGAAAATTTTTTTTCCACCTCTTTCAAGAGCATTTTTTGGTAAAATAAATACAATCGTTCATGAATGTGAACAATTAGATTTGAATTCATCGATCCAGTGATCAACTATGTGTTCTCGAGCTTTTTAATTGTCTTAAAAGAATAGATATTTCTATGAAAAACAAAAGTATAGATTAAGTTTTTAAAAGAAAAACCATTTCAATTGTTTTTAACATCAAGACCGAATGATTCAGCCATGTCTTCTGAATTGTCAACTATCCACCAGAAATTCATATTTGTACGTTCAAGTGCCCAAAAGCGTGCATCAACATTTGCGTCGACACCTGGTGTTAATGCCAGAAAACCATTTAACTAAATAAAATAAGAACGTATATTGAAGAACAAAGAATTACAAATGCTTTATCGATCTTAGTTACTTCAATATTATGAAATTCATCTTCAAATGTGGCTGTTATCTCAATCAATAATTGCCCTAGCCGTTGATTGGTGCGTTCGTATCTATCATAACAAACAATAGATCTAATATTATTAAATAGAAACCGAAAACATACGTTTCTTGAAGTTTGCTCCAGTTATTTCGATAATAATACCAGGCTAATTCACGACCTATGATAAAAGAAAAAATACAGAAAGACAATATTTTTATTTACTAGTTTTACTAACCCACAGGATTCTTTGCAAGTAATATTAACACTTCTAACAAATCAACATTCAAGTCACTATTGTAGTCTGCATCTTCATATAAAAATCTAATAAGCAAAACAAAAAACAATGCTAATTATTTGAAATATCTTTTTCTTACTGATACAGATGCCACGGTTGACGTGATTGTAGCAATCCTTTGAGTAAACGAAAACGTTCTTGTACATCAACAGTCATATAAAAACTAGCTTCAATTGTGATCCATTCGCTATCATTATATGAATTTTGAAAATTCGTTTGATATACTACATCACGAGCATGAGCAACAATTCTGTAACGAACAATAAGAATATTATTTTTTTTAAGAATTAAATAACAATATAGATACTAACGAATGAGTTGCGAGTCCATTAGCTAAATCAGGATATCCTTCATCCCATACTGTCGTAGCTTTATCAATACACTCATTTAATCGTGTTCGACACGCCAATTGAATGATTATAGTTTTTAGAATACTGAAATATGAAATCGTTTTTGTTTTAGAAATATATAACTAACAAAATTGGTTGTAATTACTGCTCAGAAAATGTTCCTTGATCATTCCATAACGATACTTCATTGTCTCTATAATAATTGCGAACAACAAGTTGAAAATATTTCTATTTGAAAATTAAAAATAAAACATTTTTTTCTTCTTGTTTCATTTTCGAAATATTAAATTTTACTTGAACGACATCAAATAAAGATTCATATTCAAGTACATCGAGCATACGATTTGCATGATATGATAAAACTTGCCATGGAAGTAAACCTGAATAGGCACTACGAAAGAAGAATTGAGTAACCGATCTAACAACTCTATAACTTTCTTCAGTAGTTTGAGCACTTAAAAATGCATTGTTGATTAAATTAGCTCGATCCTTTTCGGTTATTTGTGCATTATCATTATCTAATGCTTCAGCTAATTCTTCCCAATTTGCAGATGTATAATCCATAATATAATACCCGGCGAAATCGGTGTTACAATAAAAATAATTATAATAAACATTACCGAAATCTACATTCATAGTGGAGCGATCAAGATAAAATGTTTGATTGTACGAAAATGTTGTTGAATCATTACTAAATCGACATGTTATAGGAACATACCAAACGTAATCAAATGGAGTTGTCTCCGGTGGATATAGGTCATATTCATACATGTGTTCGCTTAAATGTCGATATTGTATCAATCGAAAAATATAATTACCAGAGGAGCCATTTCTAACAAAATCAGCGAATATTTGTGGAAAATTTGGTTGTAATAACCAACGATCAAAAAACTCTGGACCTTTCCATGGACCAATTTGAAATGTAGAAATTATTTCGTCTGGTATAAAAAATCCATATTCATTATCGCGAAGAAAAGACTAAAAAACGAAACAAACAATTATCCACTGATCACCTATCGAGAATCAAAATATTTGAATTAATTTCACAAAACGAAGATATTTCAAGATAATTATTTTTTTTGGAACTTAGACAATCCGATTGGATAAAATAGTAAGGTTGAACTTCAATTCACACTTACCACAAGATGAGCTAACGTATTATCTTTGATACCCGTTGTTTGTTCCATATAGTAATCAGCCATTTTAAATATTGCTGTCGTTTTTGTTACTTCAATACTATCAAATAATGCATCAATATCTGTTCGACTATTAACTGATTTCTGTATTGGATGTGATACACTCAAAGAATCATCGAACATCGTTTTGAGAAGTTCACCTGTGTAAAATTGATCTTTCTAAATAGAGAATAAAAATATTCAATTGTAGTTTTGTATTTGAAACATACAATATTCCATTCTGGATAAGCAATATTAATTGCCTGATATTTCAAATAATTCGAAAGTGCCTCTTGTAGCCATAGATCTGTCCACCATCGAAATGAAATCAAATTTCCACACCACTTTACAAAAAAAAGAAGATTACGAAATTCAAAGATACTAAAATTAAATCAAACCTGTTCAGCTAATTGCTTAGCAAGTATTAAAGCAATTTCTTGGTGTTCACTTGCAGATGTTGTTTTTTGACTATGAAGAATAGAAAGTTCATGAATAATGATGAAACCCCAATGTGACACTGCATCAGATGGATATTCAGGTACGGCGAGAACATCTAAGTCAAATCGAAATTTGAATTTAGACACTTAAGTATGAGAAAAGAACAATCTGTAGTACTTATTTGTGTTGGTACAACAGTAGTTTTAATTTCTTGAAAGATATTTAACAGAGCAGTAAAAATTACACGAAGCATCTCTAAGGGTTCATCAATATAGGTTCCATTACCATTCGTAAAAAATTGCTTGCGTGCCCATAGATTAATCTATTGTTCAACAAAGCAAAACAGAAGAGATTTACTAGACAAAAAAATTGATTTATGATACATACACGAATCTGTCGGCCAGTGTCTGGATACGTTGCGATTACTGTTTTCTTATCAAAATCTTCAGTATAAAATATTGAAAAAGCAATTAAGCTAGTTGGTATTGCTGGTACGGTTTGAAATTCCGTTTGAATGTAATTCTCATCTGGAAAACTTTCCTAACAAAATTGAATGAGATTAGATAGAAAATTTGTTTTTATATTCTCACCGATTCATCCCAATTACTTAAAATCGTAGTATCATTCTCATGTCGAACAGTTAATTCAAATTTGGCTTTAAAATCTGGTTCATCAAAACATGGAAATGCTTCACGTGCATGTACTGGCTTAAAATGTGTTAATATTATACGTGATGCACTAAAATAAAAACAAATCATCAAAAATAAATTATCGTCTTTTTCCTCTACTTTAGTCCAGATGGATCCGTAGCAAATGGAATTTCAAATATGCCAGTTCCATGAACACTTAATGCTCGAAAGAATGAAATACGGACATCATACAAATCACCAACTTGTAATTGTTCTTTTAAATGTATGGTTAACGTTTGCGTATCAGGAAACGGTAGAACACAATCAACAGTTAATGGAATATTATCTGGAGATGCACGTTTAGTAACAATAACATCTGATATGAGGATTTCACCATGAAGAATTATATCATATGTGGGTGAACGAACTTCCAGAACAATATCCACAGTACCACTGTATTTGTCTTGTCCTTCATTTAATTCAAATAAGTCTAATGTCAATTGATATTCATTAGGATAAACATTCTTTGGTAATCGACTCTGGCTCCACGGTTTGCTAGGATCAAGCGGTGTGGTACAGCAACCAAACTCGAAACATGGTACATTAGCTTTTCTTGATGCTACGCTACGTTTCGGTCGAGAATAATAGACTTGTCTTGGCTTAGGTTCATCTGGTTTGATCAATTCACTACTGTCGACATAACATTTAATATCCTGAGCCCAGTACAATGATACAATTGAAACAAAGAATGCCGACGAAAGAAAAACCACGATTAATAGAGTACATATAGGTACTGTTAAATTAACTTTTTTATGTAAAAATGATCGTTGATGATCAATATCTCCGAGCAAGATCGCATCATCTTTGCTGTTCGCCATGAAGACTTCTTTTTTCATTGTAAGAGTAATGTTGAAATATTTTCATTTTAAATATACTTTAATTTATAAGCCATGTTGTAAAGATAGCGTTGTCAACCATGATTGGATTTATTACAAGTTCGATAGATTCTTTTAGATTTCATTTCTTTTCGTCTAGAGACGATTGAAAGTTGAGTGTTTTTTATGGATATATATAAAATCATTGTGAATGTAGACAATCATTTCATGCTTGAAAGTTTACTATCTTCAAATCATAAAAAACCTTTAAGGACATGATGATAAGAAACTGCATTTGACCATTTTAGTAAAAAAACAAATGTACAACAAAAAGCATAGAATGATATTGAAGAGTATTTCGATTGTCATGAACGATTCAACCGAGTAGACAAATTTTTCAGTATTTTCTTTCGTTTTGAATTGTGATTCATCATCGAACCGAAAAACTATGCACTCTATATTTAATTTGTTTCGAAAGAAAAAAAATTCACCTATTTGCAGTAGTTATAAAAGTGATTTTATCCTGTGTATTTGATGTTTTATTAGTCGAAAGAAAACATGAAATTATGTCGAAGCAGTTTTCTTGATACAATAGAAATGAATTGAATCATGTATTTAGTAAAATTTATTTTTAACAATGAATGTAAGAAATTTAACGTCATTTAATAAGTTCTAGTTAAATCTAATTATATCTGTACAGAAACTATCTTGGATAAGCACGTATAAAAATAGAATAAGCGAAAAAAAGAACAATATTATGTAATATCTGACATTGCTGATTTATTCATTTTCTTCTTCATCGACGTGCTCTTCTTGTTCTTCCTCCTCTTCTTCAACTTGATTTTCTTGTTGACTTGTTTGTAATGTTCGTTGTTCATCAGGTATACTATCCAAATTAAATCGAAAATCTCGTACAGCAGACATTTTAAATGTTTCCAATAAACGTTTCTAAGATAAAATTTTAAAAAATATGGATGAAAATGTATCGAAAACTAATGACATACATCTTGTTGTTTGCCTAGTTCAAGTAATGAACGTTCATATTGTTCCATTTGATAGACTAATTTTGGTACCAATGTATCTTTAAGAACACTTTTTTTCTACAATACAAAAAAAAATATCTTTATTTATGTTAAAATCGTGTAAATTCAATTCGATACCTTTTTTGGATCCTTTTTATCAGTTTTTTTCTTTTTCTTCTTAACAGTTTCTTCTTCATCATCTAATTCCAAAGTCTACGAAGAAAAACAACATCAAAATTCATTTGATTTTCTATCCGCGATATAAAAAAAAGTATAATTACCATTGTATAAGTCACAAATCCATAGCAAGGTTGTTGTAATTGTGAACCGGATATTGATGCAAGTTTTTCAAATTCATCCCGAATCGGTGTTTTATTTTTAATCATCTATAGAATTCAAAAACTAAAATAAAAACATATGAGAATAAATTTTATTTTCATACTTGACGAGTAAATTCATCAAGAATAGTATATAGTTTCGTTATTAATTTCACTATGTTAATTATTGTCATTTTATTTTTTAATCTACATTGTACAATTTGTCCAAATGTTGTTACTGAATATGATACTTGTCCACAAAAATGTGTTATTTGATCTTGTGATAATGATTGGGTTTGAATTATCCATTCAAGACTATTTATCATACGTTCTAATTCGACAATAAGAATATTATTTAATATAACCATATGAGTTTTTTCGTTAATTATAGCAAAATAGGGTTGATGAATAAATTGTGTCTATGAATCAATACGACACATTTTAGAAATTAGATTTAAAAAAAAGTAAATTTACATCTTCAGAAACATCTTCACATTGACCATGAATATCCATAGCAATTTTACGAAGTAATGGTGCATGATTACTAATTTTTGATGAAAGTTTAATTAGAAGACGAACCAATGCTTTACTTAGTTGATGATCCTCTAAAATATACAGGTAATATGAAAGATATTTAGTGGATCACAAGTGTACAAATTATAGCGTTAGATTGTTATACCCTCGATAGATGTTGCAGAATTTCCCAGAAAGTCTTTGAAGATTCATTCTGAGCATGGTTAGTATTTCTAGATGATATTTAGCTCAGTAATAAAAACGAGTGGGTCGTTTGTAAGTTGTCTAAGGTTATAAAATAACTATCCAAGAAAACTTAATTTTAAGTAGAGCAAAAGTTTCATTCGAACAACGGAGTAGCAATATAAAGTATAGTTGAATTCGAATATTTTTACAAACAGTTTACGATTGTTTTTATTTTTAATTCTAACGGTCGAATTATAAAGATCGAAAAATTCTCCACGTTCTTTGCTAATCAATAAATATGTAGAATGATTTTATGAGGGAAAAGCATTGCTACATCATACCGTATTTTCCTTGCATACAAGTTGAACTTGCCCATTCAGCAAATGATTGATATTCATTTCGATCAATATGTTCTCCATCTTTTAATGCTAATTCAAGAATATCTGCAACATAAATTAATGCTTTTAAACAGCCCGAGACTTTTGCTGTTGAACCATCTACACCAGCTGTTTCCATTATTTGATTGTATTCGCCTTCAATTCTTTTATAGATTGCCTAATGCATTTAATAAAAAGTAAATCTCTGGTGTTTATTTAAAGAAATTTTACTGTTTACTTTAAAACTTTCAGCAAAACGAGCTGTTTGAGGATCAGTTTGACTATAACTTATATTTGAATCAACTGCATCAGGATCACCAGATAATGCTTTCATTGCACTATCAATCATTAAAGCAGCTGCACCACGAAAATTATTTACAATAATTTTCCATATTTCAACAATTAATTGTAAAATTTGTTCTGTTAATATAATACTAATATCTTTTGTTACAGCTTGATATAAAATTCTATGAAATTTAAAACAATCATTTTTTGTTGTCTTTTATTATTTGTTTTTTAAACTTACATATGAAGATCAATCAAGATCATTTGTAATTTTTCCTGTCGCATATTTTCAGCATCAAAATAATGTTTAATACCATTTGATGCAATAGAACGAAATTTCGATAAACAACATCGCATAACATACGTACGATAGTTCATATCATCAATGAGTGCATCAATTTCAATACTATTATTTGATGTATCAAGATCCGTATGAAACATTTTAGGCCATAGAATTGAATGTAAAAATCTTCTTAAACATGTAAATGAAATAAGCTTGCCTGTTGTTGGTAAACGTAATTTTGCTTTTGACATTTTATCATGAAGACGAGATTCTTGATCAATAGACTTCAAAATACTTGCAGGCGATTCTCTATAAGAAAAACAAAAATGTCTACGATGAAAGAAAGACGCTGCAAAAAGTGTTGTAGGATAAGACTTTTTTTGCACTCTCACTCCGTGTATTCTCAACTACAAAATCTCCGGAACGGAAAGAAAACTTCTTGATCTAGGAAATAAAATAATTTAACAACTTACGAATCTTTCATCCGCATAAATTTATATTCAATAAGAACATTACATATATCAATACAAAGTGTATACATTTGTGGGCTGGTATTATCGTCAGGTAGACCTTTAGCCTAAAATTGATTCTTTTTGTTTTTGAAAATACACTGTTAAAAATAATAACTATTCGTTAAACTTACACCAACTGAATCAGTAAATTCATCATCATCAAATAGAATAATAACTCTTTTGAAAATATCCATCGCTTTTTTTAAATAAACTGCTACATCTGGATCGTCATCGAATATTTTCGGATTTGCTTTTAATAGACAATCAGAACGATGCAAGCAAAGACATAAACAATGAAGTAAATGTGCCTAAGAAAAATTAATATGACATAGTTTTATCCAATGATAAAAAAAGAAAGATTTTTAACTTACAAATGGTTCAACAGCTTGTATTTTATCATCACGTTCAATTAAACAAGAAGATAAATTTAATGTACACTTATCACCAATCGGCTCGTAGTATAATGCAATCTATATTCAAAAATAAAACTCTATTAAACATGAATCTGTATAAATCATGTGTAGAATTCTTTTTGTCATAAGTCGCACGATCATTTACGATTGTTAAGATCGAATAAGTAAACAAAGATTATTAAAATATTTCTATTATAATAATTCGAGCTCTAAGATAGATTTATTCTTCGATTGAATTTTGAATAGAGCTAAATATTGCTCAACTCTGTAAGAAAATATCCTACAAAATAAAAAAAAAGATGCTTTATTTACCTGAGAAATCAGCATATCAAGAATTGGCGCCATAAGAATTGGACTTTTACAAAGAACAGGCAATAAACCCTTTGAAATAAAATTAGTTCTGACAAATCTCTCGCGTTTTATTTCATACTTCATAAACTGTCAATCGAACATCAAATTGTTGTGTCAAACTTCGTCTTAATTGCATCAATAATTCGATACATTGTCCTTCGGTTGATCGTTGTGTCGAATTAATTGTATTCATTTGTGTTGCACCACGCTGCAAGCAAACGAAAACTGAAAATTATGTTTTACTCCGAAGACTTCACCAAATAAGTTTACGTCAACTAAAGAAAACATTGTCATTTGACTAGCTTGAGCAGCTGGTGGTCGTATTAGCCATTTCGCATGTTTCAATAAAATCAAATATCCATCAACAGCCATTCGACGACAATCAAGACGACTAAAATAGTTCGATTACAAACTGTAATTTTTACTCATTTCAACACTTACGGACGATACATAGCTGTGCGAAGTAACTGAAAATAGGTTTCACGAAATGGCGTATTACCACTTAATTTAATAATTGGTTTAAATGCATCAATAACATCGTGTGCTAAATCATAGCGCATTAATAAAATTTGATTGAGTCGATCTTTTAATTGTTCAGGCCATTTTACAAATCGATGACTGTTTGTCTTCATGACATCATATAATTGTTCTACAAAACACGTTCTTACGTATAAAAATTATTTTGTTTTTCTTTAAAACGATACCAATAAAATGCTTAACAGTACGATCATTTGCTTTTGCTTCAAGGATTCGATCAAACAAACGATGTATAATATCTTCTTGAATAGATTTATGTAACTAAATATTGAATTCAAATTTTCAGTAAGAAACTAAGCGGTAAAGAGCTCATACTCGAACTATGTCAGAGAGCCACTTTGAAGCTAACGTTTTCAATAGTTCAATAACTGAAAATGAGGATTCATTCATTAATGTTGGTGATTGACTATATTCATCGAGTAATTGAAAACAAAACTCGATTAAACCCGCAAGAATTAAATCGCCACCAAATAATCTGAATAGAGAAAAAGAAATTCAAACAATTGAATTCAATAGATTTCCTCTTTTTTTTACTCTTTTTTTGCAAGTTGTAATAAATAATCTCGATAGAAATCATTATAATTTATCTTTGTAAAAAGTATGAGCCAAAAAGCTTCATTATTCTTTTCAAATGTTTGACAAACAAGATCAAATGATGTTTTAAGTTGTTTTATAAACTAAATAAATAATATTTCTATAGGTGTCAAAAAGTTTTCATTGGATTTACTTTTCCTTTTATTGTTCGATCTTTTGGTAGAGCAAATATAAATGCAAGACAAAATGGTGAAAATATTTTCGATACATCATTGCTTTGAATTTTCTGTATGAAAAACAAAAGAAAATAATAATTTATTAGATAAATAATTTTACTTTAAATGTTCTTAGTAATGCCATGCCAAGATCGGGTGATATTTCAATAGTATTTAGTATATGAACAATACAAAGACGAATATTTGATGTATATTGTTTATTACTAGAATTATTTAAAAGCAATAGATACTGCAAAATTCTTTCACCAATTATTCATTTTCAAAGGCAAACAAATCTTAGTAAGAAAAAATTCAAACTGACATTTTAAAACGAAAGTTTTCTTATGTCTCGATAAGCTAAACATCATGATATTTCAAACAAAACTAAAAGGATTGTCGTAGTCGATAGTACTGAAAGATTCGAAAACTCTTTAGTTTTACACTCGTAGAAGGTATTTCAAATCTATTTCCGATTCGAGTGTTTGCAGATGAGAAATAAAAGAACAGTAGCCTATGAATTTTTCGAGTATGCTTTAAAAAAAGACGAATATTTATTTACTCATTTGATTTTGAATCAAGATTAATAAAATATTGTATTAAACGATCGAAAATGTATCCACTACAACTCGTTATTTCATTTTCTAAACGATTATCAACGCATAATTGTAGAATATTTAATACGAAAATTGGTAATTGATCAATAGATGTTTCGAAATCAATTGTAAACATAACATCGATAAATGCACGTTTTTCATTATCAGCAAATGGAAGTGTTCTAGAAATAGGAAACATTTTTTTCTTATTGTTATCGATCTATTGTTGAATAATCCTATTTACTTTATCACAGCTATAAGGCTAGCATAATTGTCTTCATTCCATCTAAACAATATATATAATCATATAGATTATTAAAAAAATTATGAATATTTTAATTTTTTAATTTTTTTCTTACGTTGTATTTCCTAATTGTTGAACAATAGTTTGACACATTGATGCTGCTAACGAGGAGCCTGATTGAGTTTCATCTCGTTTAACTAATTGTAAATAAATACTTCGTACAAGTTCAATCATTCTAAAATTAGAAAAAATCAAATTTCTATATAGGAAAACAATTCTTTCATGTATTACTAACATATCAGCAGTTGCTGCTGATTCAATAAGATTTTGAATTATTTCATGAGTAAGATCGAGTAATGCTTCCGATGATATGCTATCAAGCTGGATACGAACAAACAAAATATAGAGTAGAAAAAAAAGAGGATTTCTTTTTTCTTACATAAATAATCATAAGACCAATAATTTTTGTAAATACAAGATGATGAACAGTTGATACTGATGATGTAACAATAATTTGAATAGTTTTTTTTATAAATGTTGGAAGAATTGTTGGATCATTGTTTTCGTCGAGACATTCTAGGTTAAAAGAAGATTTTTTTCAATCATTTTCATTGACAAATTTGATTCATTTGTGAGATTAATTTAAACCGTCTTCTGAATATTCCGTAAGAAACTTAACTAAATTTGAGCAAATTTGGGAAGGAAACCAGTTCAAGCATTTATTCTCGATGAGGATTAAATCAAAAGCCAACTCTCTCTTCTAAGGATTTGATTGAATGAAGAGAAGGAAACCTGTCACTAGCAATATTATTCATTTAAGTTGACTATCTTTCTGATTGGATTATCTTGTATATCTACCTTTTAAAGATTGTTTAAAAATATCGAAAGGTCGCGATTCCGCATCATTGACATCGATGGACGATCGAAATTTATCGATGAACTACATAAAAGAACAGCATTATATTTTCTCTCGAAAACAGTCTAATCGAATATCGATTTATTTTACCTTATCAAAATGATCATTAGTATTTAACGATGAATTCGTTGTTTTTTGACGTTTTGACATTGTATCATCGTTATTAATCTGTGTTCTTTTCATCTAGAAGAAATAATTGACAAACTAGATATCGAATAAATTATCTGTATTTCTCTCTTAGATCTATGTATACGAAATACATCAGAAGCGAAATTTTCAACACAATAAATTAATTGAAATAAGTCGTTGAAATTTTCAAGCTGTTCAGTTACTGTCTCTGGCTTTATTTAGTTTCGAGATATTTTTCGTTATTAACGACTTCATCACTCGATTGGTCTTTCAATAAAACGAAAGGAACGAAAATTATTGGTTAAACTATTGTGATCAATAAGAATTATGTGACGAAGTGGGGCGTGCATACCAATACATCTGTAAGAAAAGCACCACATGAAGTTTACTAAACTTAGCTAATAATTCATCTATATTTATTTAAAAAATCGTAATCAAAAATTTCGAAAAAAATATGCTTAGAAGGGTGTTGGTGTGGGTGTGAGTGTGAATACGGGGATATGTTGTCTTCTTGTACACCCACACCCTTCAAAAAACTATGTAAATAGTTCAGTTCTCAGCCAGAAAAAAAAGTTTAATACGTGTAGTCCTACACATTGATAATATATCGGATTGAGCTAAACTTGAGTGTGAGAGCCAGAGTATCTATGAGCTTAGATGTGAATCGTGGTACAGTCGTAGATACAGTTTTGCATGAACGCAATTGTGAGCGTGATATTTTTTCTCACCTTTATCTATTTCGACATTCACACCTAGATACCGTAATTTAGAGTTCAGATCACTGACTTCGAGTTGGAGTGCAAAAACGTTCGATTTACTAAATTCACAACGTGAGATTACTACAACAGATTAGCAAACTTGAAATACCGCTCTCACATATCAACAAGTTCGTTTCCGTATCACTGCGAAACAACAAACTCATTCTATATCATACGATCCTATTTTTAGTTGAGCGAGGAAATCACTTCTTTCGTGAAAATCTCTTTACATCACCGACCAATCGAGCTCACCATTTTGAAAATCTGATGACAAATTCGGATTCCCCGATCCCGATTACCTTCGGTCAAACTTTATACAAAATTGCTCATGTATATATACTTGTACACGTAATTGCAAACAAACAAACATACACACATTTAGTTTTTCATATGATCCTCCCCTCAGTCGAGGGAATAACATGATTAAATAAACTAATCAGTTGTTATTTATTCTTCACAAAGCATCATTGTCTATATATGAACAAACTTGACTATGAATAAGAGTCACATTCTTCACTGTCGACTTGTTTAACATTATTGTTGTTGGCAATTAGGGTGGCCAGATCTTCTGATTTTTTCTGAATTTGGAATATAATCAGATCCTACTTTGCCACTGAAATTAGATACGATTATAACGCATTACTATAATAAATCAATAGTGTTTCATCAACTTTCTCTATTAGTCATCTTTTATATTCCTCCTTCGAATTCTGGCGTCGAATTGATTTTCGTCATATAAAGCATTTATAGTCCGATTATCGTAATCCGATAATATAAAACCAGATAATGCTTAACTTAAAATAAAAATGAATGGTAATTATTCTTGAGAAGGTTTTATTAGCATATGTTATCTTTAAAACAAACTTCCTAGAGCAAATTCCAAAAGATACGAAATATGAATAATAATACCGAGATGATGGGATTAAACTTTTTTTTTCTCGATGGACTTCTTAATCTACGCAGAATGTATTTGATTTAGTTTAGCTCGTTTTTGTGAACGTGTTTTAAATTTAAAACGAAGCTCAACATTAAGTATCTTTTATTGATGTTTTCTTATTAGCTAAACGATATATTCACTATATTGTCTTTCGTTTTATTGAAATATCTTTGAAAATAAAGTTCCAGTCAATGAACAGAAACGCAACAGAACTTTGGATGTCAGTATTTTAGCGACAGATGTACTAATTTGCCAGCAACTGTCATTTTCTGATTAGTTTCTGATTTTTCAATTTTTTATCTGGCCACCCTGTTGGCAATGTCCAATTTACTTTTGAATGAACATATATATATATATATACATTTCAATTGACGTTTTCTTATTAAACATGAACCATTCAACAGTTAGCACCGTTGCCTTAAGTGACGAGATGTTAATTACCATTTTGATGAAACTTAATAACGTTGATGTATTATTTTCTCTCATAGGTGTTAATAAAAAGCTCGATCGATTATCTCGAGATATTACCTTTACACAATCTATTGATTTCGTGACAATATTATCAAATAAAAAGAGAAAGTCAATACTGGATCGATTCTGTTTTGATATAATACCTCGAATTCAACACAATATTGAATCACTGACTCTTGATCGATTATCAATTGATCGTGTTCTTCGCATTGGAAATTATCCTAAACTATGGAGACTTACTCTTGTTAATCTTCCACTTAAGATGGCATATGATATTTTCAATGGTATGTTGTGCATTCTCTTGATCTTTAAATAAGCAAACTAAATCGATATATTTGTTTATTGGATATTTATTTAAATGAGTCATCATTGATTCGTATGCTCAAACATCAAATTTTGCATTTTGTCATAAAGTTTAATGATATTAAATTTTCACAAAAAAGACATGTAGCTACAAATGTTTTTGCTAGTATCTTTACTATATTCACCAATCTAAATCATTTCAAATATGATTTCAAAGATAATTTTGGATATTCGCCATTGTCACTTATTAATTTATCATCTACAACGTTTTATTTATCAAGTATTGGTTATTTGAATGTTACGGTACGGCATTTTAACGACTGTCTTTGCCTACTTGATGAACGTTTCACTCATTTACACACAGTTATTGTAAAAGTTGAAATTATCAAGAATTCGTCAAATGCAATAAATAATAAGGTAACATATTTTCAATCACGGACAACAAATTCAATTCGATTTATAAGAGAACGATAAGAAAATTGAGTATCTTATGATTAATTTTGTGATAGAGTAGTATTTATCTGGAGATCGAATAATGATGGCGTGTACCTAAAAGCATTTTCCTATAGCAGACGTCATAGAAGACTATATAATATATTAAATAACTTTTAAATAGTAGTATGTAATGTGCATCTTGTTTGCCTTCGATGAGGGAAATAGTTCAATTCATACTCGTAATTAACAAAGTATTGTCGAAACACCGGTTTCGTGCAAAAACTAAAAGATCTGACTCACAGACAGTCGTAGAATGTTGCTATTGCTTTCTCAACTATTAGTTATATTCGACAACGAATGGCCTTTCCATGATCTTTTTTGTTCTTGTGTATTGTTAATTTTTCTTTTGTGGAACTCAAATTGTTTTATGAAGGAAAATAGAGAATGTATGTTTTAAGTCGAAGTTTTCCAGCTTTCCCCTACTCCCATAGACAACCTAGCAACATATTCGCCGCCACATACCTGACCGTCATTTTAGCAGCGTCTCTCTTTATCTCTCCCTCGTCCTATAGCAACAAGAGAATAATAAGAAGACAAATATAAGAATTCGAGCGCTAGGCAAAAGTGAAAGAAAAAAAACTTCCGTTTGAAATTCCAGAAATTAAATAAGAGAAATGACTCTCTGACCATCGATGATCTTTGGAAAGTAACTATCATGTGTTGAGTGTGAGTGTGAGTGTCTTCAATTGAAAAGGCCATATACATCCACACCCTCACGGACACAGATGTTTTCGACTTCTCGAGCTTGCTCTTTCCGTCTAGCACATATATTTCTGTCTGTGCATCTATTAAAAGTATTGATCCATCTTGAAACGCTCTCGATAGGGCCTTACGTTTTGTTGATGAATTACTGACAGCGATAGGATCGAATTGCGTATGAGGATGGAGGGATTTTCGATTGCTATGACAGTCTAGTAACATGAAAAAAAGTTAAAGGAAATTTTCGGTGTCTAAATCATCATTAATGTTCGGTTCTGATACAAATGTAGTCCTGCAAAACATGATCGCCACATTCGATGAAGGTCTGTGAATGATCGGTATACGGTCGTTTATGGCCGATGGTGCTCGATCTGGAAACATAAAGAAGAAGGGTGTGGGTGTGTTCAACTGAAAAGGCCATATAGAGTACATGAAAGGAGTAGCTGTAAGTGTCGTTGTAAATATTTTCTGTATTTTTTTTTGTATTTGTGTATTTTTTCGTGTATAAATACGTTTTCTCTCAATAAAATTTCTTCCTGTATGAAATTTCTCTGTTATATATTTCAATTTAATTGCTATACGGTATCAAGTATTCTACATTCTCATTAGTCTCTCCTAATCAAATTAGAATAAGCATATATACGACGAATTGCTCAGTCACCGAAGCATGAATCAATCGAGATTCAGATTTTCTTTTCATTTTTATTTAACTTGTTTAGTTTCTGTTCCAATTGTTTATTGTTGTGCACTGCTGAAGCTTGACTTATTTGTCAACTGGAAATAGAGTTTTCTTGGTATTGCAGAATGAAAAGTAAAAAACATTATCGAGAATAGTTCAAATGTTTCCCTGTGTTGTTTTGCTGGTGTCATGTTTTTTGGTTCCTCTTTATTATAGTATCCATGTATATTCACTTTGGAATCTCGGAGCGATCGTCATACCAGCCTTTTAGGTCACATTAGTCGAGACATATGCGTATACTCAGAAAAAAAGACTTCCTATTGAGTTTGGACTTCGGATGCAGAACTTAGTTCTTGCAATCTGTCTATTTCGACATAGGACGAATATCTTGATTCTTAATTTCTTATCAGATAAAACTAATAGAACAAACAGTACTGGCATGAACACTATTTTTGGTCATTCTGCTTACCAAATCAATTCTTAGAAAATGAAAGCGTTATGTTTTCAACGATTCTACACTGAAATAGCAAAGCCTTCTAAAGGCAATTGACAGCTAGACAGCAGTTCCAGATTGGTTTTAATTAAACAGTGGATAAATATTTCACCAAAGCCAGTTAATCCTAATTTATGTTTATCAAGTACCCTTCTGTCCTTCAAAGTTTGCAATGGATATGATTGTAAATAAATCGAATTTCGTTCTTTTTTTCATTTATAGAATGTTTATTCATTCATTCTACATGCCTACTATTGAGATGTGAGGTAACGGTTGCACAAACAGTTTGAAATTTTTTTATTGAGTATTCAGGGTAATCGTAGATACGACCATGAATCAACTGAGATTTATGTATTTACTCGGACGCTATTAACAGAAATTCTTTATTATGTTTTCATTTGTGCTTGTTATTGAAGATCGATAGAATTCCAGCATATGCAGTTTACGTTGTTTTTTAGCGAAAAGTATTGAGAGCTACTGCATACCATGATTTCAAAGTAAACATAAGCATGAATGATTCAAAGTTTTTTTAAATTTTTTCTCAGGAAGAGAATTTTTCTTCGTCTCTATATATATTCATCTGTATTCATAGCTGATGCCAAAGACGACGGGTGTGTGGGTGTGGATGTATATATACACCCACATTCTACACTGAAAAAAAGTAGCACTACAGGGAACCAAGAAAGTTTCGAATTTTCTCGCTGAACTTTAAAATGGTTTCGCAGGCACTACGAAACTTGAAAAGGGTTTCGAGATTTGAAACGAATTCTGAACCTTTTTTAGGTTTCGTAGGTTTTCCACAAAACCTTCGAAAAAGTTTCCTGGACTCTTGATAATAATTTTGAGACTATCTTGGGCTTTTACGAAACCTTTTTGAGGGTTTAGAATTCATTTCAAAAATGGTTCCGTATGGTGCTATTTTTTTCCCAATGTAATTGATGTTCCTCTTTGGGGGTAAACCATGTTTTCCAATATATTTCTTTCATCATAATAAACAGTGATCATTCAACTGTAACGAAATAGTTTGATTGCATTTTTTTCTACATTCAGTTTATTCAATGCAATATCTACAAATACTTAGTTCTCTATAGATTGTCACACCATTTCGATTTGAGTGAACACACTGGATATTGTCTTCATCAACAGAAATAATATACAACGTTTACAACGTATTCCGATTATTCAAAAAACAAAAGTTGGTAGAATTCATTTCAATTTATTTTATATTATCATCGTGAAGTAAACATTTGTTGATATCAGATTGCATATTATTACCCCTGATTAATGATAAGAAAGTAAAAAATGGATAGAGGAAATATGATTTATTCAGAAGTGAAATAAATGCTTTGTATTGGGATTTAAAAAACAAAGAAAACATTAATAAGTCTAGTAAGAAAAGTTGCGAATAGTAGAAGACATGAAATTGTTCCGGTGATGCTAAGCGTAAGGAACTGGTTCAACACATATACTGAACTCAATATCACCTAAAAAATAAAAATAAGTACATTAAAAAGATAGACTCCTAGGGGTGCACCAAAAACATTCTTATCGGCATAAAGATTGTTAATTGTCGTCATGCAAACTCCCTAAAACCAACCAAATCTTTGAGTAGGTTATACCCAGTTTTTTGCGCTCTTCCTGATACGGGTATTATAGATACTCAAACTTAGAACTTTTTCTTTTAGTTTAGGTATCTATGATACCCATTTCCGGAAGAGCGCAAAAAACTGGGTATAACCGACTCAAAGATTTGGTTGGTTTTGAGGAGTTTGCATGACGACAATTTACAATCTTTATGCCGATAAAAATGTTTTCGGTGTATCCCTATAGATCAACTTCGTTTTTCTGAAGAGTATAGCATACATCAATTCTAATAGGAACTATTATTACCGTTCGGTTAATCTGTCGAAAAAGTTGATTAGAAGTTAACACGAGTTTATTCTATAAATGTAGCATAGATAAAATACGAAGCGTAAATGATTCTATTCAGTCTGACAAATTGCAGGACTACCTATAGCTTTAGCTATGAGTATATTTAGCAATTGAACAAATCTTAGGACGCATAAAAATCCATTTCGGCTTTATCAAAACTCAGCATAATTGTGCGTACCGTAATATCATACGTATACACATGTGTGACATAGCATAAGTGTTATAGTAAATAAGCAGAACAACAATATTTTTGATCTATAGCAATGAAAATTATTCGGTGCAGTAACGTGTGTAGCCGTATAAGAAACGAATATATGAGCATTTGAGTATTTGAGTGTAAGGAAGGAAAAAAATTACCATCCCTCAATTACTACAAGATGATGTCAATCGACTAATAATTTAGAGAGGATTCGAAGTGGAAAATCTCACGAAGTTTTATAACTTATACTACTAAAATCCGAAATTCAAACAAATCACTGCGTTGTATTATATTTTATTTAGATTTTTCGATGAGTTGAAATCAATTCTATCAAATCATAGTTAATTTTTTCAAAGTAAAACCAAGACAGCAGAAAGAAGAGAAATATCCACAGTTGTATAATACAAAATTCTTAATAGATGTTAGAAGGAGTTATACATGTTTCATATGATATAATTATTCTTCCTTTTTTATCTTTCGATGTTTGAATTTTTCATTCAGTAAAAACAGAATGATATGCTTCGTTCGGGAATCGAACCCAAGACACAAACAGCTGGTTAACCGGACCAGTGCTCTTACCATTGAGCTACCGAAACACGATTAAACATATCATTTTTGTTTTTCTGAATGAAAATTCAAACATCGAAAGATAAACTAGATGGTGTTCGAGTTTCACTCGAAAACGAAACGCGGTGTGAAGCTCGAATAGGATCTTCACGAAAAATCATCAATTCAGAGAAATCTTGAATACTTTTTATGTCGACATGATGAAATTCATCACTGAGAAAATTCTATTCTTACTTAGCGATACATTCTTAAGGATCGATTTCGATTGATCGATTAATTATCTCCATGATTCATTATCTTAGATCAGCTGTAAATGAATAGACTATAGTGGTTAACATATGTTCATGACGTCACTTTAATTATCCCATGATAAATTTCTTTCATTTTCGTCACTTTAGAACGACATTTAT